GAAAATTAATTACTTTCATTTTATTATATATAGATTTTTAAAATTTCCTGAAATATTATTAGTTAACGTTTTATTTAATATTGTAGAATTGATCAATACAATTTATAAAAATAATTTATTGGTATTACTTACATATTTTCAAAAAAATACGTAAAAACATATTTTTTTGGGTGATTATGGGAGTTTATGGGTGTTTATTGGGTTTTTACCAAAGCACCGGGTTTAAACCCGGTGCTTTGCCCATCTGTAGTTGTGGCAGGAAAACCGTCATTAAAGTCATGACGTCAGCAGTTAACCCTGCTTACAGTACAGCATTAACTTCCAGTTCATTACACTTAGGTATAATTATTATCAATATTCAACAATAAAACTGCACAATACAATTTATTATTAGCTACTTATTCAGTTGTAATCGGTTGAAATTTCTAAGTACAAAATATTACAGAATGTACTGTTTCTGTTTAGCGGCAAAATTAATAACCCTAAGACAGAAATACATTATGTAGATTACTATATAAATCTCTCTCTATGAAAATCTATCATCTTCGTACATTGTAAAAGTTTAAGTATAACAAGTACGAAATCACCATATTTTAACGCTACCACCTTGACTTACTTAGAGTTTGGTTTAATCTATTTAGAACGCGCGTGGCTTGATAAAGTCAATTCTCTAATTGAGCATCGGAGCCAAGCTAAACTGGCACCCACCATAACCTTGGTACGGCACGAGGTCGCCCTACGGAAGCCCTCCGCCCGCCGCCTGCCGCCCTACGCCGCACGCCATTTTACAATAACCTCCTGAATTAACTGTGAATATTATCTTCATCGTTTACGAAAATCCACTTTTATTGCTCTATATTTTTTCTACATGAACATTTTGAATTGGACATTTCTGTTCGCCTTCCTTCTTAATACTTATAAATTAAAATACCTGATTGCTCATATACTAAGTACTTAAACATAGGTATACTTATAGGTACATCTTTCGACATCACGTTTTTTCTTTTATTATATCCAGTAATCCATTACAAGAAGACATTAAATTTTATCTATAAGATCATCGTCTCACCGTAAAAAAACTTTAATCTAATAATACTCTAACACTGACTCACAGACAATATACAATCTAATCGGTCATTGTAGATAGTTTAGAAGCATTAAATTTTGCTCAGGAGTTCTTTATTTAGAATATCCATAAACGACTATAAGGACAAGAATGTATTTTCCATGGGTTGATCATGGAAGATATCTTATTGGCTGTAAGTGATATATAATAATATTTTCAAAATTCCATATAATTTTCAGAATTATGAAAGCCTAAATAAAAAAGTATTTGTGTATTCATATTTATAAAAAGGATTAATAAATTGATCATGCCTATATTTACGTCGAGCCCCTTATTGGATAGATAAAAAGATCCGAGTGTCAAAGTATCTTTCTCCATAGACGCACTTATTTATTTTTACTAAAATAATATTTATCAATGTAGAAGAGTTCGTAATGAAATGATGAAATAATACATAGAGTTATAATATTTTATAACAATTAACAATATTTTTTATTCAGGGAAGTAATTTCTAAACTTATATCTACTACCTTTACGCATTTTTCTTTATTTTGACGAACAATTAACATGGTTTTGTTGCAAATATGTTTGTACGTTTGTGAACAAATGTATTTATTTGGTTGAGTATTGTTTTGCAGCGTAATTGTTATTGTTCATAGTGATCCATCTATACTATTATATTGGTTTAAAATAAATACAGAAGTGTTACGAACCTCCTTCTATCGTCAAGTAGTTTGAATATTAACTTTTTTTCTATAAACATTATGAAAACCTATTAATTCTTACCGTAATTTTACTCGACCATTATTCTACGCCAACAACAATACGGATACGGCGTTAAGTAAACGTAAACACATTTAATTTTAGCCTGTTGATCAGTCGCTGTCAGCATATGCCATATTTACAGCTACAGGAGACAGTAGATATCAACATGTCGCGAAACATAAACTGCCATAAGTGTTGCAGCTTGTGATCTCATTATAATCAAAAACCATGTGTTCGTTTTTGGCAAATTTTCAAGTGAATGTGCAAATGTGTGAAGAGCAATACTCAATTCTAAGGCAAGGACGCACATTTATTTTTATATGCTATTCTTGATGATGTGTTTTCTTGTCCACATTTTATGAGTTTACAATCTTTCACTAATCAGAATAAAGTGTAACAGTGACCTTATATCCAACCTTCAATTGTTAACTTTCCAACAGTTATTTCGTAACCTTCACATATTTCCTTGAACTTACTTTCCCGCGACGTATTTACGAAGGCACTTTCAGTATTAGTAAGTTCACTATAATACGGTAATTTATAATACTATGTATGTATTCATTTTTATTTTTATTTAACCATTGATTATATTTAACTATCTATTACCAATGGAAATAATAGAAGTGTTTTCACTTATAAGATAAATTGAAAATTCCACCAAGTACCAACAATTAACAGAATTTACTTTTATAATTTATGAAATCTATATCAAATATACATATATTTACAAAAGTTTCATTAAAGACAAATCGCGTGGCCGTAGCCAATAGTTTACGGTACCTACGATATACCTTGCTAGGCCTCTGTCTCTACGACGTGGATCTCTAACAGTTTACCATTTTTAAAATATATTATACTTAGTAAACAGTTGTGTAAGATACAACTAATGTAAAATATAGTAATTGTTATTATAGAACAGATCGGCCACATTCGGACTTTCTTTATAGCTTGGCGGTTAAAAACTTGTCTTTATATGTTTTTTGATGTATTTTGTATTCAAAAATTTATTTTAATGTTAGAATAAATTTCCATAAGTATAAATGAAATTACTTTTATTTAAAAGTAACATACAGATATGCAGTTCGTTCCCGACTATCCACTCGTACGAGTCGTATGATAAAACTATCAGATTACCTACATATTTAGTTGACAAGTTACGTTTATACCTAAGTACATATTTATAAAAATATCAAATTATCAGTAGATATACAAAATTATCAATTGTTTTAACATTGATCTTAAGCCACGTCCAGAGACTAGTATCCGGCCGTGCCCACGCCTACGTACTCAACACTGATTAGTTGTTTTTGTTTTGTTAGATTTGTCGCTTTAGACACGAATTTAAGATTCACAAATCAACAATATTTATGATCATAATTTGAAAATTATTTTGTTTATTTGTTATCTCTTGGCACTTTCACGATTGAATCATCAAAGAATTTGGCATACACATTGTATTTTTAAATCATAAGTACTGTATTTTACACCATTATCATTTTTTATCCTTATTTGACACTTATTAGATAGGTAATAAAATTGCTCCCTTCCTCTTTTAACAATAAGGCCGCCTATTCTGCATCTCCTACATTATTATTCTTTATTTTATAATTATATTAAGATATATTAGAGATAACTGTAAAGAGTATTATTATATAAAGAAGGACTTTAGCTACTTTTTATATCAGTAATACAAACGCAACTAGTTATTGTTATAAAATCTGACTAGGTCAAGCTACCTATTTGGTATTTCAACATTATAACTACTGATATTATCTATCTATTGTATAATTGTGCCGGAAACGATAACAGATAGATATTTACTTAAAAAATTTCATAATTTGTATTAAGTAGACAAAGATATAACTAAACATAATAATTTGTTTTGTATCAAATAATAACTTGTTTTATATATAGATAAATAGATAAATATGACAGATTATATTGATATTTGAAAAAGCACTACATGTGCAATTATATTTTTTTATAAAATTTGCGTCACAAATAAGCACTATTTAATTACTATGGACTGACATTTTTCAACTGAGTTCCCTATATTTGTAATCTTAACAAATAAGTTTTTTTTAATAGGTGATAATGAAATGGTAACTCCGCCCGTGCTATCGGTATACACTGGCGGGGCACCATTGAGGGATGATAGGTAAGGATGAAGCAGGTCACTTAGCCCATCGTGACGAATTCAACAAGAATTATTCTCGATGGTTTCCAGAGGGAACCACGTGGAGGTCGACCTAATAGGGTATATTGCTTGCAATGGAGCCGTCAAACTCCATTGCTAGCAATCCCTTTTCCCAAAAAATAAGTATTACAAATGCGATAGTGTTTGCATGTCCTTCTTTCAAGACAAATACATAGAGCAACGAATCGAGGTAACTTTGATAATTATCCTGTGGTTAGCTTATTTGTTCCAATTTTATAGTTTTTAAATAGCTTACTTACTTACATATTTATATTACAAACTAAAAAACTAAGCACAATAATTCATAATCTCTATGTCAGAAAACTTTAAAAATATATGGCAGTAATTTAAATACACATATATAATATAATAGTACCTTAACAGTTTTTCTAATTTGGATTTTTATCTACAGATTAAATATACCAGGAATACCTAACTGACTGACCAATCATGAGGAGATAACACTGCCATTCAAGAGATGAATTATAAAAACGAATGAAGCAAGATATATGTACATATAGTATAACAAAAGAATATAAAGACTTTTGATCTAAAAATGGACACAGAGATTATCTCTGTTCACATTTTAGGCAGCAAGGCATGAAAGTAGATTTATAAATATTCCTGATGGAAGATGTATCAGATGAGCTAAGATCTAATTTGGCATAAAATATAATAAAACTGAAGATTCTAAACATGTTTATCTCTAGAACTACCAATGGATTTTTAAAAATTCTTTCTGCAATTTGTAACTCATTTATTGAAGAACGTTATAGGCTTTTCCATTTATTATAGGCGAAGCCACGGGATTCAGATAGCTTGGTATATTTTTTTATAAAGTGGTATACGTTTATTTATATAGATAAACACCCTATAATAGACATATTAGTTACTAGTGGACTACATAATAATGAAATTTGCAATGCTCTATTGGTAAGAAGCTCATGAAGAAGACAAATATTCATCACTAACCAGATTTACTGGCATCTTTGATGAGATCAGAGATAAGGTCATCGCTGACCTCTATTCCGAGGTTACGCAGCATGAACTGCAGCTCCGCCGGCGTCACGTGACCGTCGCTGTCCCGGTCCAGGAGGCCAAAAGCTGTGCGGAGGTCTGGAATAAATGACAAAACAATACTTAGACATATAATTATGCCCACTTATAGAATGCAAAGACATAACACCACACTCTTAAGGAATGGCAACTAATGATATTAACCAAAGGCACCAAAGGCACCATATATATATATATATATATATATATATATATATATATATATATATATATATATATATATATATATATATATATATATGTGTGTGTGTGCGTATTTATTTTTGTTATTTCCAAAAATATAATGATTGTTACTGCTTTTTTTTTTATTAGAGGTATGCATATTTATGGCTTGCGAGCTTTATATTAAATCTCATTATTACTTCCCATTAGGTACAATTCAAATTGTATTAAATGCGAGAAAATCATAAAAAACAGAGGATACAAATAATAAAAGTACCTATCTATTTATTTGTGTCCCAATAGAGATATATAAACATATTAATATAAATTCATTAGTTTATAACTTACAAAACGAATTGATGAACATGAAACCGTAAAGAGCTCTCAATATAGGAAGATATTTCAGGATATTTCATCAGTACAAGAGTGCTTTAATTTTTTATAAGTTTTTATGTAAAAATATTATGAAATTTTACATATAATAAATATTAAAGAGAGAAAGTAGGTGTATTTAATTTATTATAAACACATTATAATGATGCTAAATGAGATGTAAATCTAATTGAGAGTAACAAATTATTTAAAGAAAACTTTTACTTCATACTCTTTTATTGTAATAAAATAATTATGTAGGTACTCACAAAATTTGTTATCCTTTTTAGACATGATAATTAGATACCTATATATGTAGGTACTCACGTCAACAGAATTTAGAAACGAACATTATTTAACTGTAATCTTACTATAATGATCTGTAGTGTATCTTTCTCACGAAGTAAGTTTATGAAAATGCCAGCCTGCCATCGCCTAGCATCACATAACAAAGACAATATTGACAAAAGATTAGTATATCATGCTTTTCTTATCTCACATCTCTTAATATTCATAAACATCATCTTATATAGGTGCGTTATCATCAATAACAATATATGTATTACCATTTTCATAGAGTAGCTTAGGACTAGACCGTGTTAAAAATATTTAAATATTTTTGTCTGCTCGTTACTGACTACGTACTCATTGACAGCGTCTTATAACTAAATAAAATTTTAAACACACATACATATTTCTCGTTTAAATATATTTCTTTTTGTAAATAAAATTTTTCGTAAAAAGCATAAATAAAATAAATAAGCATATTTTTAATTATATGAAACCAGATATCAGTAATATATTAAGTGTATACGACGTGGCATACGCCAGTTCAATACTAGATGCATTGAACAGGCAATAGAGCGGAATGACGCCTCAATGTATTCTTCAGAGATTTGGCTATTAGATGAAACCAACTGACAAAGTTGAAGATTAACACCAATGATATAAGTTTCGCCACATATGAAATTTTGAGTAAGATTGAGAAGTTCTATGCACAGTTGCATACAACGTCGTTAATACGCAAAGAGCTAAGGTCACCCGACACTATACCGATGATATCCTGAGTATCAGTTTGCACGAGATTGAAATGACTTTCAAGCAGCGTAAAAATAGTAAGTCACCGGGGAAGAACGGAATTACGGTAGAGCTTCTAAAAGCGAGTGGAAAACTGATACTTGTAATCTTTAGAGGCTATTTAATCCATATCGGTGTTACGCCCGAGGCATAGAGCAGAAGTGCGGTAGTCCTGTTCTTCAAGAAGGCTGATAATACCCTATTGAAAAACTATATACCGACATTCCTTCTGAATCGCGTCTACGTAATTTTCGAAAGCCATGACCAATCGTCTTACACGTTAACTCGACGACTTCCAACTACCCAAAATAGCTAATTTCTTTAATAGAACCAGAGGGAGACTTTATACAAAAGTCAATTGCTTGGGTACCTCTATCCTATCGTGTTTCAACCGTGAAGCAGTTGTGTTTGCATGGCTGTGTTTCTGTTTGAAGGGTGGAATATGACGTGAATTTACTGGGTACAGAGGAATAACACCTGAGTCCTCAGGAATGGCAACGCATGAGGGTATCATGGGCGAAACAGTATACTCTGTTATGTCCATGGTACTGCTCATGTCTGTAGGCGACGATTACCACTTTCCATCAGGTGGGCCGTCAGCTTGTTTGCCATTCTAAGTTGTATAAAAAAAATTAATATTAAAATTTATTACCATAAACGTCATACGCTACGGCAGATTATACAGAAGACCGAAGAGTATAATCTGCCACTATATCTAGTGGTATAATAGTGACTATAACGGTCAAAACATGGGCGGTATTACAATCCCTCCAGCGGTGCCAAATTTACTTTGCTAAATGCTAAATGCTAAAATAAATGCTAAAATGTATGTACAGTAGTCCAAAACCAAATTATGAAACCCATCGCAGTACAGAAAGATGTAAAACAGAGTAACGTCATATGCACAAAACTCTTCTTTAAAAACTGTTTTCAAACTCCTAGACTGAGAAAGATATGGTATAAACACCAATGGCGAATACATTACCCACCTTCGATTTGTCATTGATAGAGTAATCAGAGATTTTACCATTCCTTAATATATGCTCAATGACCTCAATATTGCTTCTCTGTAAGTAAGTTTTAACATAGACAAGACTAAAGTTATGTCTAACGTTTATGTCGCTGTTTACCAGTTGTGATTGGGAATACTACGGTCGAAGTTGTCGACAAGTATGTACTCGTATACCTGGGACGACTTGTCCCACTCGATAAGTCCAATTGCGATTGTGAGGATAACCGTCAATCCAACTCAGCTGGACAGCGTTTGAAAAATTACGCCATATGTTCTCCTCCAAAATACCATAAAGTTTGATGACGAAGGTCTTTAACCAATACGTGTTGCCAGTGAGTACCCATGGAACCAAAACATGGTACTACACAGTGGCCCGTATGCAAAAGCTTTAAGTTAAGATTGTTTACGTTACATGACGAGGTATAGAAAGAGCTATAGCCCGGAGTTTCTTTGCGTGATAGAATCCGAAATGAAAATATCCGCAGAAGAACCAAATCGACCGATATAGCCTGAAGAATAAGCAAACTGAGTTGGCAATGGGCTAGTCACATATGTCGAAGAAACTCGACTACCGTTGGGAAAGAATGGTTCTTGAGCACAGGCAAACGCAATGTAAGTTGATCCCCCATTAAATGAAGCGACGACCTTAAGTGCATTATATGGAGCCAGTGAATGCAGAGGGTTCGGGACTGTTCTTTATAGCAGTCAAGGGGAAAGCTATGTATAGATATGTGTAGATAGATAATGGCTGATATGATGATGATGAATATAACACCTACATATACAAATTTTAAAATTTTTATTTTAACACATAATTTTATTAACCATCTATGCTTCTAAATTCAAACAAATATTATATATTATTTATTGCACTTGTAAGTTACATATAAAATAATGTATTTATAAATGTTGTGAGCGAGGGTGGACTTATCTCTGACAGAGATCTCTTCCAGTCAACCCAGTACAGTAAAAAAGCATTTCGTTAGCGGGCAACTGAAGTGCTACAACTATTAATACATAAACAAATATACAGTTAAATAAAATATTAAAATATATAATAAAACCAAGTTAAACTGGTTTCCTATCCGACTTCGACGTGATATGCACATCCTTTCTTTCCTTTATAACATACTCAATAACCCTAATTCTCCATCGTACCTCCGCTCCCGGTTTAAATTATTACCACCACCAGTCCGTCCTAAACGCTCCTGTCAACTGCAGTCCAGGATGCTTGAACTTCCTGTGTGTAGGACACATTTTATGGGCAACTCTTTCTCGTATCGAGCTGTCAAGTTATGGAACAAACTCCCTTCCCACATACAAGAGAGTCCCTCTATCACCTCTTTTAAAGAAGAGGTTGAAATCACATTTTCTTTCCCTTGAGTAATATTTTTTTTTTTTTTTTGTATTTTTCTAATTGAACTCTCAAATCTTAAAATCATTAAACGAAATTTCTAATGTAAGTAGTAAGTATATTAATTTATTTTAACATATATTATATAAGTAGGTAGGTATTGTGTGTATTTATAGTGTATGTATTTATGTAATATTTTATTATATATTTTAATATTTTATTTAACTGTATATTTGTTTATGTATTAATAGTTGTAGCACTTCAGCTGCCCGCTAACAAAATGCTTTCTTACTGTACTGGGTTGACTGGAAGAGATCTCTGTCAGAGATAAGTCCACCCTTGCTCACAACATTTATAAATACATTATTTTATATGTAACTTACAAGTGCAATAAAGAATATATATAAAATATTACATAAATACATACACTATAAACACATATAATACCTACTTACTTGTATAATAAATGTTAAAATAAATGAATATATTATATTATGTTGCAATTAGTAATAAATATATTGTATTTTTAACATGAACAAATGTTTGAACCATAAAAAAATCTAATACAACTCTATAAATTATAATACCGATGATAAAAAAAAGTATTCTACATTGTGTCAATAGGAGTATGATTGAATTTAAAGGCTTGGAACGAAAAGTCTTAAGATTTGAAAGTGCAGTTTCTTTATATATAATGTTGTTCACTAAACACTAAAACAGCAACTAATGATGCAATTAAACACAATGTGGTTCAAATGTTAATCACTAAATAGTTTGTTAAAAGCTTTCAGAACATTTTATTATGTTTTTTAATAGTCATGTATAGCTCATAAAGTATTTTAAACGCGTTTCTCGCTATCACGCTAGTCCAACTCCGACTTTCTTGGCCTAAATAATATAAAGAAAAGCTATTTATTTCAAAAGATATATTTTTTTAATCTTGATCACCAGATCGTTGGCACCGTTTAAATCTTAGTCATGGTTTGTTATAAACTAAAGTAAAATTAAGGAAAACGAGCCAAGTAACAAGAAAAACTCAGTTCCACGAACCCATTTCACATTATATAGGTGATTGATATTTTGGGAACTATGCGCGGAATACCATGGGAGAATAGTCTCTACCTACTGTTTACATGATCAATCATTGCAGTTAAAACGTAAAATTACTTTCAGAATTCGGTTTCAAATTACGAGAAATAAGCTGTAGTTCTGGTATAATAGATTTATTTGTATTAATAAAATCTTATTTGACTTAATTAAAAAAAAGAAACACTTAGGTAATTTGGGTACATTACTACTCTGAAATATCTTATAATGAAACCGATATTAATATAGAACACAATGCTTTACTTATTTATAATTGAACTACATAAATATCCTCACAACTATAATCTCTTGGGGAATGAATGCTCAGAGGTATTTTGTCGACTATTGCTGTAGCGGTGAACATACAACTCGACTTGTCTACATTTCGAATTACTGATATTTTTAGTCAATTCTTCACACGATTTTACATTTGACATATAACTATTATAGTGCAGTTTAAAAATTAAATGATTACCACGGTTCGTAACGATCATGGATATCACCTAATAAATCAATCGTCTAATAACATTATGTAAAATGAGCGATAATAAAGTATGTTTCACATACAATTGTCACAAAGTAAACAACCACTCGTAATAATCCTCAGTCACGGTCCACGGCCATTGTCACTGCCTTGCTGCATTGCCAAATGCATTAGTTTCCCCTATTTATATCTACAACACTTATGTGAATTGTTTATCGATGCTACCGAATGATAAATTTCTTTATCTTTCTATGTATAAGATAATAATTCAATCGGAAGGTGAATGGTAATAATATTAAATTCAACATATTTTACTAATTAAGTGGGTAACATTAAGAGATTGTATTGGGATAGTTGTAGTTTTTCTATTTATTAGTATCAATAATTCAGCATATAGGTAAAACATAAGGATGCCAGAATAATAATGAGATTTATTGTGAAGTATCATTTCCTAAACTTATCTCTAAAATTAAAATTTAAAGCAATAATTTGGAGATACTTAAGTAATATTCTTTATACATTTATGTAAAAAATTCTTAATAAAATATAATTAAATATTATTTTAAAAAATTCATCCTTTATTTACTATACTAATAAAATATATATATATATATATATATATATATATATATATATATATATATATATATATATATATATATATATATATATATATATATATATATATATATATGTGTGTGTATATATATCGGAAAATTAATATATATTTTATCTATTAGGCGTTTTGATTTCATCCGGAAGTCTTTTTCAGGGTGATTACGATAAGTCGCGACATGAGTGCGAGATGAAACTTTATGAAGAAGAATTTTATGATCATGTTATTTTACCAGACGGAAACATTGACAATTCTCTGTATGGAACCTCAGTAAGTAATTATTATATTACAAATTATATTCTTTGTTCTTCAGTCTCTTGTATTTCTTCCTTTACCTAAATATGTTTCAGTTTGAAAGATGATGCAATACAACAATGAAAGACAGGAATTGCCTATAAGAACTGATACTATAAATAATAAGCACTGCTGCGAAAGTCCACGAGAAATTAGCTTGGCAGATGAAAGTACCTATATGTACATATATTAATATATGAATGACCTGCGCATTGTCTAATTAGCAACTTAGTATAAAAATTTTCAAAGGTATACACTGTCAGCTTATCTTGTTTATATGCATGATGATAACTCAAACTCATTAATCATTAACATTTTAACTAATGAGCAAACAGGGATAACGGAAATTCTTTAAAAGATTCTGATAACGACTTAATATTTTTATGATATCGGATTAAATACAAAATGCCTCTAGACAAGAATAATTGAGTATTCCATAAATCGATGCCGTGCCGCATGATGAATGAACGTCAACATGGCAAACCCAGCATTAAAATCTTAAAAAATTACGATTAAAAAAAGGCTTGTAAACATTCTAAATAAATACAGATAAGAACTATTGTATTCTATTATAAAGGATAAACAAGTCGTGTCTCGCGTCTTTTTTCAGTTAGATGTGTGATTTATCTAAAATTCAATTTAATCCTTACAGCTGTTTAAAGAAGGTTGAGTAACAAATATCTTTACAATCTTTCATTTTCATTTATTTGAAGAAGTTATAGTGCAGAACCTTGCTGATACAGAATAACCTTAATTTTATCTATAATATAATAATACGATAATATAATTCTATACATATATCAATGAAAAAAGAAATAAATGAATCACAATTGCATAATTGGCTGACTTACCAACACAAAATAGCAAGTATCTTTTATCTATTTCAGAAGATTTAATGAAAATATAAATAAACAAATTTGTTATTAATATCATTTGAAGAGTAGGTATTTCGTTGATATTTTCAACAATACTTGGTTATCTTTTCTTTAAGTTATATTTAAACCTACTAAATTTAACAAACAAAATTTAAATACTAATTTCTTTTTGTGACAACAAGTAATGAGAGTGTTGGCAACATATATAATTTATAAAATGTATAATACAAAATTTACACATACATTTTTTTTCTTCTTTCAACCGACTTTTTGTGGTGTGAAGTGCATGTCTCGCTCTGTATTTCATTTATATAAAATATAAAAATAATTAGAAAAGAGGTCCGGTTTAAATTTATACAACAACATCTCTTTGCAACCTAGTTTCCGAAGAAGTCGATGTGTTCTCGCTCATAGTTTTGCGGTGTTCTCATCAAAGAGAAAAATCTTCGACTATCTAGGAATACAGAATTAAATAAAATATTAATAATATTTTGTGATACAATCCAGTACTATAAGAATAAATAATCCTAATCTTTATTCTTAAGCCAGAATATCCAAACTAAATAAAGAGAGCCAATTTAAAAAAAAATTGTTGTCTAAATTGGTCCCACCTAGACTGCACTTGCGTTGTAAAATTTTAAATTTTGCTGATAAAAAAAAAATTATTGATAACTTAGATTTTACCTGTATATTTTTGCGTACGTAAAACATCACTCCGTTGTCTTAATATTTTATAACTGAAGTTTGTATCTGCAAAGCATTTTAGATCAATTTACATAATAAGAGATATATCCGACCATGAAGTTTAAAGTGTACACTTATTGCGATATCCAAGGTGTTGTTCATGTTTATAGGTGACGGTTACCATCTTCCATCTGATGGGCATATAGATAGGTAGCACAATCACTATTAGCTATGACGTAAGAATAGCTAGTAAGTTGAAATCGCATTTTTTTTAAATATGTATGTAAAAAATGTACTTACATATTATAATAATAGTAACGTTGCACTTTGGAAATGTAAAAAAATTTGTGCAATGTCACGTCCACTGTTGTGTACTTGCATATCTAACAACGACATAGAAATCTTAATAGGTACGTGAATACTTAGGTTTCCATTTTTAAAGTGCTGTTTGTAGATTTAAATTGTTAATTTTTAATAAAAAAAAAAGTAACTGAAAGGTAATGAGGTATTTTAAAAAAAGAAATTAAAAAAGTATTCGAGATCATTCCGTTCAAATCGTAATATTGTTAAGTGAAGATAAAACATCTGTTCTATTAAAACTGTACTATTTACTAGTATGTTGAGTGCAGCTAAATAAAATCAAATTATTAAAAATAATAAATAGAAAGCAATGAAAAAGATATTTCTTATTGCATATATTGGTCACATGAGAAAACTCAAAATTTCAAATAATTTTAATCTTTATCGCTCTGAACTTCTGAATATGTTTTTAATAGTCAATGAGTGGTATTTCGCTTTTATATAAGTACTAACTACATCCCACTTTTTCCGGCTACGACAAAATCAAAATATTCTGTTTTATCTAGGATATGATCTACTTGTACATTATCTTTCAAATATATATATTAAAATTCTATCGAAATAATAGTGCATAAAGTTTACAAATCACTAAAATTCAAACAGTTTTGTATGAATTATTATTGTTAATTTTTATTTTTCAACTACTAATTACTATAAATAATATGTCAAGATTGTTTACTAAATATGCCGACTAATAAAATATAATTTATATATTAGTGTTTTATATAAATGAATATTCACTTACTATTGAGCATTGCTTCGCTAGGGGCTGGCACCGAAGGCCGATCATCCACAGGCGACTGTTTCTTCTTCTTTTTCTCGTCATCTTGCTGTAAAACGAGATCACTTTCGTTATCAGACATAAACGCTATATACATATGTCTAAAATTTATTCTATGGCCACCAGGATGGCTCACTATATTACTAACAATGACTGTAAGAAAATAATATGATACTGATACTGTTTTTTTATCAATTTGCTGACCTTATCAATCTAGTCGTATGTTTTATCGGACTATTGCTTGCTAATCAATAAAATGTAGATATCCAGCGTTTTTTAATAATATATGTGAATGTAGGAAATTTTCAGATAATATAGTGATCAAGTAGTATAAAACAATTTCTTTTGTTTTACTAGTCATTTAAAAGGTTATGTTGTGGCGCACTAAAAATTTGTAAAAAGAGAATGCCAATAGCATCTTTAATCTATGAAAAAAATTACCAAATTTAAACTTTGTTATTAAAAATGTGTTTGAAAACTCAGTTAGAAGTTAGGATTTTTTTTTATTAAAATACTAATATGATTTATAACATGCCAAGACGAAGAATATAAACGGTTATAAAGTAAATAATTCAAAATATTTTAAACTTAGCAGGCTTTTTAAGAATGGCAAAAAATTAATATAATAGCCCAATTCAAAGGAAACATCGCTGTAATACCATGGATTAAACATGGGTAATATCGATACTAATCCAACACATTTTATATATTAAATAACCGATATTCAATTTATCTGTTATTGGGCCAATATATAAATATTGTAATTCAAATATATTGATATTGCTATATATATATTACCCACCCCTACCATGGGTTTTAGGAACATTGACTGTACTGACGCACACGAAGCTCCACGCACATTGTATTATGTGTAACACTTGAAGCACAGTATTAAGATGTAGTACCTACTCCGTCTTCCATACATTACATTCCATACATCGAAAGACTAATGTTACATACACCTTTTATGTCAACCCAAAAGCAACCCATTAGTTGAATCATAGTCACAACAGAAGCCAATAGTTTGAATAATACACAGATAAGTCAGTCCCTAATTATTGTTTATTTTTAAAGACAAATTGAAATTGGCACTTTTTCAATAGGAATGTGCCATTTGATCAGTTATAAGCTGAGTCATACCTGTAAAGATTTCAACTAAAGCTGTCAATTTCAATACAGATACAATACTAGTATCTTGTTACATAGTCTACCCCACATTATACGGAATATAGGTATACAAGTATATAAATTTAAGAATAGCTATTTACTGTATAAAGAATTTAAAATTATAATATTAAGGCACACAATTATACCAATCACTCGTCCCTCAAGCTACAATTCCCTGTATTATGCAGAACTAAACAATGAACGCCTATAGGAATGACCCAGAACCAATTCGGAAAAGATGGTTCACAAATTGACCTGTCCGGTAATCGAACCTAGGACCCCATTTTTACTAAACAACATGCCCACTACCCACTGCGTTATGGAGGTCACCAAGTATCGTCGTACTTTGATAATAGATTAGACAATTAAAAATAATAATGTTTTTTTGCACTATTGTAAATAACTATCATGGTTTTACAAACGAAGAGTGTGCGCTGAACCTTGCAATTCTACGAAATAGTAATACTACTACTTATACTCTGCTATTAGTTAAACTGTCATTTTTCACGTTTTATTTTCACTGTACACTAAAATAGTGCTTTGTACTGAAAATGACATGCATCGAGAACAGAGAAACGAAACCTCGTTCTACTGCACGTTCTGTATTTTAGTTTTAATTCCACCTATCTACGTAAAAACTACCAAATTATATTTAAAAAGATTTTCTAAAGATTAAGGTGCTATTCATTTATTCATTCAGGCAACAGTAGCTGCATTCCATTAGGTGGGCCATAAGCTTGTTTGTCATTATCTAGTTGCAAAAAGTATTTGTAATATAATTCGTTACACGCTATATACTTATTGCATCTTTGTATATACTCATCCTTATAACAAAAATTAAATGTATACATACGTATAGAAAACTATACATATACGACCGAACGAACGGTTGAAGTTTCATCACATAGTGAATTTTAAGTCCTTTGTGGTGAGAATTCCGGCGGACCGTTTATCGACTTTTACAATGCAGGAATTTCAAACGGAAGAAAAGGTGTCATTTTCCGACGTTTCCGAGGACGGTCACCTGACACCACGCAACGCACGTCATACATTACTTTGTTTCTAATTTGTTTTTTGAATTAAGTATAGTTTATGAAATCTCTTTTTATTTAATATTATATCAGTTTGTAAATTACATAGACAAATGAACTAATATCATTAAAATAATAATTACATTTAGTGTTTTAAATAAAAAAAAAACACCTGTCGTTCGCAAGATAATCTCACATTTTTTTTTTACCACAAAGGTAGCAAAGAAGCATACAGCTCGTCTGATAAACGGTCACTGTAACCTATGGACGCCTGTAACACTAGGGGTGCCACGTGCGCGTTGCCGACCCCGAAACTTGTCTAACCCGAAGGCAATTTATGCTATTCTATGGTATTTGGAATGGCAAACGAGCTATCGGCACATCTGATGGAAAATGGTAACCGTCAGCTATAAACATGAACAGCTTCATGGACATCATAAAATGTACTATGATACCAATGTTAGTTGAAATCTGACAGGTACCTAGATTCGCAGTTGTAGACATCCAATAAAAATATAATTTTAGTAATTTGCGTGCAACCGTAAAAATCTTTAGGGACACACGAGCAAAGCCACAAGCAGTGGTAAGTGTAAGTGTACATTAAAGTGTATATAAAAGTACATAAATATGATGAGATAAGTGTAGGTGTAACTTATCGATCGTAGTATATTTTGAAATTGACTCGTTATTTTGCGCATGGTTTAAATTTAATCTGTCCAAATATCTGTTAACATTTAAATTACCTATGTCATATAATCTACTACACCTACTTGATAAATCAAGTGTTTTTTCTTACACATTTTTTAGCGGAAATCCGGAATAGAATCTGTATTACAGCTGCCAAATGGCAAACACAACAAAGAGTTTTTAGTGTTGGTATTTTCTAAATAGATACTATAGGTATATTAGTAAACATAACTACTGTAATATCAACAAGCTGATGACCGCAACTTCATTCTTGTATAGCACTACACGTAATAAAATTTGGAGTAATTTTAAATCTTGTTTATAAAAGTTTATATGCCATATTTTAATCTACACCGTGAGATGGGCCAACTGACCTGCTTTATCCTCACCTATCATCCTGCACTGGTGCCCCGCCGGTGTATACCGATAGCGCAGGCGGGGTAACCATTCCATTATTCATCCATCCATTAAAAAAATCTACACCGTGATCTATATCTAATTCAAGTTTTATTCAAATCCATTACTTCGTGTAAGTGAGATTAAGTAATAAATATACAAACATCTTTACTAACTTTCACATTATATAATATTTATAGACAAGATTAACATGCAACGGCTTGATGCCAAATTTACTATTCAATCATGCCAAGTTGTATTGGTAATTCGGATACCTATCTACGTGTTAGAACGACCCAATTAAATAAATAACCTTCATTGAAGTAAGAGGACCATCAGTAACAATAATTATGTTAATTTATATTTTTCGTCTTATCATTATCATCTCATTATGAACCCACTGCAATTCACTGTTGGATGTACTTATAGTCTATTCAATAAAATAAAATGGTAAAGTAACCAAGTACAATTTGACGTTGAGACATTTAGGGTCTCCACGGGATCTATTGTTGATTCTACTTTAAATAATCAGCTGCAAGTCACAATCACAATCTGAAAGTTTTATAATTACATATTTATAAAATAATCGTGTAAAATGTACTGTTGATTTATTGATCTATAACTAACATTTGTTTTATGAATACACTCCGTGACTTGTAGCATTTCCTTAGTTAATATTAATACAAAATATACACTAAAAACTATCTCCAAATTGAAATTAAAAATAATTAAAGATTGTGGTCCACAAATAACAAGCGACTTAAATTATGACAAAACAAGATATTTTAGTCTAAAAATTATACTACTGGACCGATTTTGATAAAATTTATATAAAATCAATCTATAAGTGTATCAAACAACAAGAAGAATTATGAGGTAACGATCATAAAAAAAATACAACTAAATTGAGAAGCTCCTTCTTTTGAAATCGGCTGATAAAAGTAACTACAGAAAAAGCATTACTCCAATAGAGAGTAATATATAGTGGGAAATTGTTCGACATCTGAATAAAAGTGAGTGATTAGTTAATTAAGTCTAATACGCTATGTTTCTACCCTGTTTGTATATCTTAGATTGATTGTAAATTATTAATATAGGAAAAAAAAATAATTATTGCTCAAGAATAGTACACATTTAAATTCCATTTAAATGTGTACTATTCCAAAATGCTATTACAAGGAACTACTATACACACAACGACAAGTGCTATGCGATCGAGTGAAGTTTGCATAGAAATAGTATGTCGCGTTTGGCACCGCGTCAATTCGCGACAACGCCGTAAACAGCTCCGCGGACCAACCTTGTGAAAAAAATATGACAGTCCGAACCAAGGTAAATAAACTACGCTGTGATATATTGAACGTAAAGATGGTAAGTAGCTTTGTACACAGATGCCGACATCGTGTTCAAAGACAAACCTAAATCAACTCGTTTAATTGCAAAACAAACACTACATAGTGTACCCAAGCCTGTAAACAGGATGCCTACCTCCATACTGTATGAATCATGAGTATTAAATCGATTTTTAAACGTAACTTACAAACTAACCACTTTTAGTAAATGAAGGTTCATATGATAAATGTAGTTGTCGTGATGAGACTGCGTGTAAACACTACTGAAATATTCATAAACATGTACATTCTCAATTCTACCAAAGTTAACATAAAAGAATTTGCTTAATTATTATTGTGCATGATTTCATTAATTATCAAATGTCAATCATAACGTTTTCTAATTGTTTTTTATTTTATTTTTGTAATTACTAAGAAATCCCCGCAACAAAATCTTTATGAAATTCGAATGAAATTTATCTCCAGAGAACAAATTTATTACCATCGTCATATCAATAGATATAAAACAATATTATCTACGCGCCTAATACTTATATATATGTCTAAAAAATATCTTTATAAATGTTTGTGTAGTCGAATTTTGTCCTTCAGCTCAATGTTTAATTTTCAATAGAAATAACATATGCTCATGGAATATAAGCCGCTAAATAAATATATAAACTGGCTACTTATCCAACGGTAAGTGATTACCGCTATCACCTGATAAGTTACCGTAGTATTATCTTTTAGCCACAAGTTACAGTTAAAAATAAAACTCACAGTTTACAGTAATTAAATGTTAGCTCTTCGACAGCGATAAATGAGAGAAGGCGTCAAATTAAAAATGAAACGGCAATGCTAACGCGAATATAGTCACAGAAACAGCAATTAGGTTGCAGGGTAAGCTAATGGTTAGATATTTTACATTTTATATTATACAATATAATATTGAAAATTGCGCTCTTCATATAGGTAAGCAACGATAGAACATTTCATCAGGTAAGCTGTTAATTTATTTACCTTTTGAAATTATATAAAAACAAACAGTATTTCGCTGCTAAAATTATTTGAATCTTAGAAAACTAAATATACTTAGTCTGGTAAAAAACCTACAATTTTGTAACATACAACGTCCTTTTAAAAAAAAATATTATATTACAACCGTGTAATGATATACCTTAATCATTAATGCCACATATTTCTTCTCCAACTAGGTTACCATACCAATTTTTGTATTATAAAAAACCAAAAAATGAACATCTCTATCGTACTATCCACAAAACCCCATTAAATTCATTTACGTGCAATATTGAAGTTATGTAGATATCATTTATTAGATTACTAACATCTGAAGCATATTAGAAATATATTTTCGAAATTAATCGACGCAGAATCGAACCTACGGAAAGGGATTGTTAATAATGGAGACTAAAAATCCCTAGTTTTGCTATTGCTAGCAATATACCCAATCAGGTCGACCTCCTCGTGGTTCCCCCTGGAAATTAGCATGGTTAATTCCTGATTAATTTATCATGATGGGCTAATTGGTCTGTTTTCATTTTTATCGATCACCCTTCACTGGTGCTCCGCCAGCGTATCCCGTTAGCGCAGGCGGTGCTACCATTCCATTTTCACCCATCAACAAACAAACTCTTATTAACGTCGCGCAATGTCAATATTTCGCGATAGAGATCATAGTGTGCTATTGATTTCAAAATATTTACCTTTCAAAATAAAAAGTTCGATTCACATAAGAAGCGGCAATAAATTGACAAAAGGGATGAATATACAAGTATTTGACGTGGACGCGAAGCGTTAAACAAGACAGACTAGACATTATAGGAATGTGCCTGTCCTTCGAGTTTTGCACATCAAAGAACATCATAGACGATTTCACATCTGAACGATTCGAAGTATTCCACTGTTTGAACATAAAGATGGCCAGGCCAGTATTATTAATATGTTTTTAGTTTTTTATCGAATTAAAAACCCTGCAGTTAGATTTGATTGATTTTTCAGTATTCTCTATTTTTCATAATTGAGCAACGTGCTCGCTGCCATGCTCATACAAATAATCGTCGTCCCGGCATAAAATGAGCACCTCTTCCTTTCCCGTGGATCTCGTAAGAGGCAACTAAGGGAACTTAATAGTCAAGGGAAAAGCAGGAGCGTCCCTCTTAAAACATCACCAAAGCCTAACTGAGTTGCCAACCGGCCTGCCAAGCGTGGTAATAGTGGCAAAATCCCCCAAAAAGGGAAGGCTATGTTCAACAGTGGACAGTTAATGACTGATATGGATACTTAATATGCCTGCATATTATTATGACAGTTAAAAAATAAATTTTCTTGTAACTTTAGTTATCATGTTAGTATATATAAAATAACCAAAAACTAGCAGACACTTGCGAAAACTATTTTACTTTTGACATAAATCCTTTTTTGAAGTAAATGTCATAAGAAGATTGGGAATCTTCTTATGGAAGTTACTTCAAAAAAGGAATGATTTGCTTTTTTTTGTGATTACGTCGCCATGAAGCAATTTGACAAATCTATTTACAATAAATAAGATTACTTATTTAGGCTACATTATTACAAAAATTGCGTAACGCCACTGCCAGGTCAATAAAATAAAATATAATATATATATAGGCAAATAAACAGGCAAATAAAATACACTGAACACATCCAGCCATTCAGTGCATTGACCTCGTGAACTTGTAATGAAAAAGATTAGTATTATAGTTATTTAGTTTTAGTACTTTAGTACTATTACTTATTTTGTGGTTTTAGTATTGTTAACTTTATTTAAGCATAATATTCTTAAATATAAATATATTCCATCGTCATTTGTTAGTTATTTTTGCATTATTTTATAAAACAAAAAAAAAAGCAAAAACTTTGCATATACAATTACACTATGCATTAAAATTGAAACAAATAATAGTCTTTGAGGCTTTATTTATTGATATATACCTAAGGAAATCGCAGATAACGATCATTGTGTATATAAAGACTATGTTTGCTTTAATAAATCACAAGGCACTGTCATATTTCTCTTGTCACATCTAGTCATTTAGGTGACAATTCCGCGACCAAAACAAAGAAAAACAAATTAATGACAAAAGGTCAAGGCAAAACAGCATATTTGCGAATGTTCTCATACATAAAATAGTTTACACGACCGCGCTCCCGAACAGTAAGGGAGCAAGCACTACGCTTTGACGAATTCCATGCGTGCATACATTCCTGTGTATTCAACTATGAGCCACGGTACAAAAAATAAATCTCAGCATCTTTAACAAGTTCTCGTCATACCCTAACCATAAATAATGATATATTAAGAAAACTAAACTTATGTATAACCTTAATTTATTTACAAATTTTTAACTGTGACCTCATATGTCAAAAAAATTATTTAGTCGTTTGTTGACCTATGTTTCTTTGGTGGATATATTCAGCTTCGCTACTTTTTTCTAACAATATCCATTTCACCCTATGCATTATTTATTCTTAGTTATAGTTTTATCATCATCATATCAGCTATTAACTGCCCAATGGTAACCATAGGCCTCCCATATAAGGGAAATTCTGCCAGTAGTTGCCACGCTTAGCAAGCGGATTGGCAACCACATTTAGCCTTTGGTTATGTTTTAAGAGGAACGCTGCTACCCATCCCTCGACCATTAAGTTCCCTTAGTCCCCTCTTACGACACCCACGGGAAAGAAAAAAGTGGCCCATTCTGTGTCAGAAACAGACAGCATGGTAGTTATAGTTTAATAAATATTATTATAGGTATTACATTTGTGGACTGTGCTTTTCCTTAGTCATGTTCTATAAAATCCTGAGAGTGAAAACAGTGACACATAAAATACTACCTACAATATAATATACCTAAACCAATATAATGTAATATTTTTTATACAACTTAGAATGACAAACAAGCCGATGGCCCATCAAGCTTGGTGATGGAAAGTGGTAACCGTCGCCTATAGACATGAGCAGTACCATACACATAACAGAGTATACTGTTTCGCCCATGATACCCCCCATGCGTTGCCATCCTGAGGACTCAGATATTATTCCTCTGTACTCTGTAAATTCACTGCCATACCCCACCCTTTAAACCAAAACACAACCATGCAAACACAACTGCTTCACGGTAGAAACACGAATGGGACAGAGGTGCCGAAGCAAACGACTTTTGTACAAAGTCTCCCTCTGGTAAAAAAGTCTGGTACAATCACCACATACAAGTGCTTGTGCTCACCTTTCTTCTAGTCCTCGAAGTAGTTGCCATACCCTGAAAAAAATAAACAATAATTTTATCATTTACATTACATATAAAAATAATTAAATACAACCAAAATTAGAATGCACTATTTATATTTAGTATTACTTTTTATTTCTTAAATACTGTGTATACCTACCTATATGTAGGTATTTTTTAGCAAATTCAATCCAATTTTCAATCAACTTCAAAAAGAAGATTCAGAATTTGGTTGTACTTTTTTTTCTATATATTTGTTACCTCATAACTTAAAAGGAACTTTCCAAATCGGTTTAGAACTGACGATAAAACGATTTGGAAAATTCTTTTTTTATCCCAATTTAGTCTTATTAAAAATTTCATCAAAATCGGTTCAGTATTTTAGTTTTAATCAAAATAACTTTTTTTATTTTTGATTTTACTACAATTGAAGTCGCTTTTTTTGCAGAACAAAATTATTAATTTCATGTTGCGTTTAAGTATTTTGTAAAAAAAAAACAAAGTTATCGTGACAAAATTCGTATAGGGACCAAGGGAGTTCCTTCTCAATTTCAAAAAGAAATAATCAAATTGACGCAGAATTGGCAAATATATCGCGCAAACGTAAATAAAATATCTATAACTAACGTAGTACAAACGTCTACCAGCTTATAAATATACTAATATATATAGAAATCTACATAATATCGGTATACAGAAAAAATACAATATATTTTCACATTTTTTTTTTTGATGGATGAAAATGATATAGTAACCCCGCCTGCGCTAATGGGATACGCTGGCGGAGCACCAGTGAAGGGTGATAGATGAGAATGAAAACAGACCAGTTAGCCCATCATGATGAATTCATCAGGAATTAATCATGATAGTTTCCAGGGGGAACCGCGAGGAGGTCGACCTGGTTGGGTATATTGCTAACAATAGGATTCTCAGTCTCCATTACTAACAATCCCTTTCCCCCCTATATTTTCACATTGAAATCACTGAAATCTGTAACAAAGTAATTCTATAATAGCGGAGTATAAAACAACGACGAAAGTACAATTCTTTGTATCGAATTCACTAGTACACGTAATTAACCATGATGATTTTCAGGAGATACAGGTCGATGTAATCACCCGAAATACGTAATATTATTGCTGTATTTCATTTAATTATTACTTTCCAAGCTCCTTAGAATATTTAAAGACTATAGAAAGACCGTTAGCTGTTAGAATAAAGCTGTCCTTGAATGGTGAGTCGATGAGTCGGCGACATTGACTATAGAATCGAGATAAATGGAAATAAGATCCAATAATCAGGAGAATAGCTCTGATTAATGTTGTCAATTAAATCTTCTTAAAGTCCCTGATATACAACATTCAAATATACTAGCTTTTGCACGCAACTACGTACGCGTGCATTTTAAAGTAGGTACCTACTTCTAGATAGTATATGAACACGCCACATATACAACAGATAACAAATTAAGTTTTCTTAACTACAACTGTAAAAACAAAGTGACAGAAAAAATTCTAGATATTTATATTTTGACTTCTACTTATTCTATAAATTTTTTGTATTACGTACAAATATCGTCTTATTATTTAATAAAATACAAAAATATTATAAAGATAAGTCTTAAAAAACTACGATGCTTTTATAAATGTTAAAATATAGTCACAAATCAAAACCTATCATAGTTCTAAGTACTTTTTATTTATTACTATTACTATTCGTGTGAGGGCGTCGCCCTCTAGCTTTAATAATTTCAAGGCAGTTTTTGTTACTTAAAAGACTTTGACGTAGTACTCGTATACTGAACGGTATGCGATGTCTTATGGGCTCTTTGAAACACGATGCAGGTAACATTCATTTATAAATGATCCAAATACGAATATTTAAATTCAAAGGTTGCATTCCCATTTTGGGTCCCACGGACCACATTCGAGTAATTATCTATCACCAACAATACTAGACGTGGAGTGGTATCGTCCACTCCATATCTAGTGTTGTTAGTCATAGTCGTGCAGCTAATATTTGTAGTGAGAAATTTATGTATATATTTTAGGGAATAAAAGGTGTTAGACTTGTATAAGATACTTGCTTTTGTCCAAATAAACACGTACGAAGGTACGTGTTTATTTTGGAAGTCCATAGCGAAAACCTCTAGATACTGTATCAAGATAAAACATAAACCAGATTTTACATTAGACCTTCAGGAAGACAAGTATGAAAAATGCATTCTATTGACGCAGTAATTTTTTCGTGATACTCTAATAAACTTTTACAGAGATACAAAACTTCCTAAAATGACTGTTTTGGCATATATTGCTGTTATTATGACCCATGATATCAATTTTTTTTTTTAATATTTCTTATGTACAGACAAATACAGTCAATTTACAATTTTAATATAATAGTAAAGTACCTACTTGATACGTATCTAATCTAAACTAGTTGTATGTGTCGAGCAAGCATGAACTAATTTGGGTGAACAGACGTACAATAAAGTTAGACGTTAGATGGGTCGCTGGATATACAGGAATAATAGGCAAAGACAAGTACAGAAACTGAACTGATCAAAATATCAACAATAGTTCATGTAGCAATAGGTAGCAGACGACTATGAATACTATCAGTAGGTAAACCTCAAAGGTCATAGGCACTCCGTAAATTTTCTGCACAGTAATGTGGTAGATTAAGGTAGAATTATTTTAATATTAAGTGCCGGTAACTCTCTAAAATGTTATTTATACAAAATGTTTAATAACTATCTAGTGCGTAAACCTTGCGTAGTAAATTCAAAATATTGTAAATATTTAGCGTAATACAAGCGAATGAGAATCTCTAACTCTCTATAAGAGATTTTTTTTGTCGTTTATTGGCGTGTTTAAAATTATTTTCTAGGGTGGGGGGGGGGACAGGGCCCACCCGACCACCCTTACAAATGCCTATATCTATAGTATAATAACATCATACATTTTCACATATACGAGTATATAAAAGATTTAAACGTGTTTTAATCACGTGTGGTTAATATTTTTTGTTTTAAATACTTTTGAGTGTGGTCGTGATCGCGAGACAACTAGATGTTGGACGTCTGACAAGACTTTTGAAATCATTTGCAATTATCGCTACCTGTTTATATCTTAATTTGTATCAGGCATAACATTATAGTTTCAGAAATAAGCATTTCTAAAATTTTTAGTCAAATCGTAAATACAATCTTATAATTCTTTTGCGATTTATTTTCGTAGGTATACACAGAATATCTTAGGTGCGATTTGTTTTGTACGAAATGATAAACTGACAACCTTCCTAGTGTAAAATGGTAACTGTTGCATTTAATCATAAACGACTTTAAGTAATAAGTATATTTGTATTATTAGTCTGTGACACTAAAGGTAGCATTCATATATTGGCCCACTTTAGAACTCTAGATGTTTGTGAAAATTGCACTTTTAGACTAATACACTACAATCATACTAACAAATTTTAAGTAAAATAAAGGGTCGGGAAATCTTTTTCTAATATCTAATCTTTATACTCCGCGTACCCAATAAATAATAAAATTTATTTTGTTGTCGTATCTAGAAAAATGGTTGTCATATCTCAAATAAAATACACAACTTAGTTACTCCTGTAGATTTCTACCATTAATATATAATATATTAACGTAAAAATTCGGTCATATTGCTCGACGACAGTCCGACAATCTGGACAAACTAATGGTTGTAGGCAAGATAGAGGGAAAAAGACCACGCGGACGATCGCCTAATCGATGGTCGGACCAGGTAACCGCTGTTACGGGACTGTCGATTGCAGCTGCCCTGCGAGAAGCTGAAGACCGTGTAAAATGGAATAACATCATAAGAGAGGCAACAGACACCTTTCAAGGACACGACCTTCAGTAATGAAGAGGACGAAGAGAGAGAACGTAAAAATATTTTAATAATCATCGGTAAAATTTAAGTTTATAATAAATACACATACATACTATCCTACGTGTCTACAATAGTTAGTACATGTATACTAAATGAGATCATCATTTAATTGAGACTAATAGTATAGACTTACATAATGTTTGAATCGTAATAATCCAGCGCGAATGGTCTGAAATATTTGACTCCAGAGACAGTGCGTATTCATCTTCAAAACAAGTCCTCGTAACCTGGTCCTGTTCTTGTTTCCGGAACAAGTTACATTCAGAAATAGTAGACACAGTGGCCGAGATTGCACGATTGTATTCCCATCGTCTATTTTTAATCGAGAAACCGAACAGTCTAGTGTGTACACATTACAATTTATTTCTCTCCCGACGTTCTAAAATCTCTCAATATTTCTACAAACTAATGATTGCCTGATGTCGCCTGGATATTACTTAACAACACATCCTACGCACGTTCACTGTTGTCCCTCCCTAGCAAAGCACTCGAGTCGAATAATGCTGTAAGTATGTCGTATGATAAATAGACTGCGAACAATATTGTAAAAACCTCTTACAACTAGATAAATACGATATACAACTTCCTAAGAAAATAAATTATTTAATCTGTTATATTCGAAAGATTTTTCATTGGCTTGCGATTAAAACTTGTAGTCAGATGTTTTTGTGCATAGGCAACTGTCAAGGTTATTTATTTAACACTTTTCAAAACTTTTAAATTATCACATAAAAAGGAACCTACACTTACAACGTACAACACAAAAAATTGATGATTTTGCAAACTGCTATGTCGATGTTTGCCAATTACTTGTAAACACCTATAAAACTATAGACTGCTATTTTATGACGAACTATTAGCCAAATAGACTTGGTTGTATGACTTTTCGGTGCGTACTAAGTACAAAACAATTTAAAACATGACATCACAAAACATGTAATGGTACGATGGGTTTAGTCTATATAGTTGTACCTTTATCAACATAAATATCAATCATATATCTACCTAATACCTACATGGGTACCTACCGTTTACTGAAAATTCTGTTTATGTATAAAATGAGTCACTTGCATAGTAATTATGCGTAATATGACAAACAAAAAAGAAGAGAATTTAACTTTTTAATTTATCATTACAAAATGTAATATTAATAATTAGAGTAATGCAGTAGATACTTACAAATTCCAAAAGAAGAGAAGTTTTGAAATTAATTTGTAAATATACAGCAATAACAACGTTAACTGTAATTGATCCTATGATCATTTCCAGACACCTTAATATTGGATCGTTATCAAACTTACATAATTATGCAAACATTCAGCTCAATTAGTATACACCGGAAAGCAGGTCAAAAACTTGTATGTTTACTTAATTACAAGCAACATACCGAAATAGGTAAAGTTAAAAAAATCTTTTAATTTCAATGGATTGGGAAAATCTAATGATATATCTGATAATCTTGCTGATGCATTGGCTTTTTAGTCTACGAGTATATAATTCTACATATACTAATAATCTAAACTGTAAACGAAAAGTCGTTGCTATTATAATATTATTATATTTAGATAAATATTAAAAATCTTCTTAATGTTCTTCACAACCTAGGATTGTGATATAGATTAGAAGAGATTGTTTGTAACAGTGCTCGCGGTTACCTTGCTAGCATATTCCATGTGATCCTCTTGGATACCGCCGTCGTTAATTTTTAACGTCTTAATGAGTTAACTGACATCACTCCATGTTCCCCTATCATGATTAACTGGTACCGCGCCTATGTAAACCAGTAACAAATTTATTTATCGATATTAATCTATTAAAAATAAAATACAAAACCATTTATAATCCATTTAGAAATAAACAGGATCTTTAGTCACCAACTTAAATTGCCACAAGCATATTACGCAGAATTAATAGAGCCAAACTGCTCATGTTTTCAAATCCATTAAGCTTGATAAATGTTCCACTGAAACCTAGTTGTAATATCTAATTACACGTCTGTCAACAGGTAAATAGTAGTAGCTATCAAATCTCTATGTATACACACCTAGATGGTGTAGTAGTTTAGAGAACTACTTCCCATTTCAATAGTTGTTCATTTGTATTAGCTTGAGTGTTTTCTATGTATATTTTATGAATTTATAAAAACTTAAATACAACTGATCATAATACAATATAAGAACAATAATTCTAATAATTACTTGGAGAAATTGATTTATGTGTGAGCAAATTACAAAAAAAAAAAAAAAAAAATATTCAATAAGATCCTGAGGAGTATGATTCATGTAAAATAGTTATTTTACAGCTACTTTACATGAATCATACGTGCTGTGTAATGTACTATGATTTATGTAAAATGGCATTATTAAACCCCCCTAACAAGGTCCCCTCCCCCACAACACAGAGAGCTGTCTACTCGCCGATATTTTCTTATTTAGCATTACAAAACTGAAAAAAAACTGCTTTAATTTTTTTCGTTTATCGTGATATCCATATTATGATAATGAATTAATATGACTACAGTAATTTATTAAATAATAACGATTACGACAGCCAATGAATTTAAAAAGAGTACTGTACCGTACTGTAAAGCAATACGGATTACCTACGCATTTCTTGTAATACCTAATTAGTCAAGAGCCTTTGTAATATTGATATTGTTATGATTTAATTACGATTGAAGACGCTATTTTTGATAGGACAAAATTTTAAGTTATTATTATTACCTAAATAAATAGACGCGTAGAATAAAATAAAAAATAATTGAAGTTATCAAATAAAAAGTACTGAATATAATTGCTAAAGTATATAGCTTCTTTAATATTAACTACAATATTATTTAAACATTAGAATTTATATTTCTTTGATTCTACTTCGTTGGATAAAGAGGACAATGGCGTTATGTGCTGGCGACCGCGATCGATGCAGGCAACCTTTGCGGTTATAGGCGGTAGACGGTGGACTATACCTTGCAGCCCGCTCAAATACGAATAACTGTATAAACACCACCCACCACCCGAGGTGACATTGAAACCAACCGGACAACACCTAATCTATTGTTTACCCTCAGATATGCATGACAATCAAATACATTTGTTCTAAATCAAATAATCTTAGATTATATAGATAGAGTATTTCCATACAAATGCTTCGAGAAAAGCGGGTAAACATTTTTCATACAAGTTTGCATGATAAAGAATTAGTTATGAGTGAATCCTTTATAGCTTCTATATTTATTCTATCTTATAATTTCTGCGTCTTTTTAATGCGAAAATACTCATTTTATTTATTAAATAATACATCAAGATATATTTTGTATGCATAAGTGTATAGAACATTAATAAAAAAATGAGTCAGCTAATTTGACAATTAGCTGACAATAAGTTGACCCGTTTTTGAGACTAAATGGTCTATCTATATAATCTTAAGCATGTATCTATGTAAAAAATAATATAATTTACTGTCTTAGCGTGTAATTAAAATAATATTATAACTAAATGAAGCTATTTTAAACGAAATATTGTTAAGCCACTATTTTTGATAAAGTAAAAAAAAAAAACAGAAAACAATTGAAATCTAACTAAATTATTATAAATAAGTTATGAATAAGATATATATAAGTACCTAAACGTACAAATCTTTGGAACTTAGGTTATTTAACCAAAGAGATTTAAATCGATGCCGTACTTACATGGCAGGTGCAAAGTGCTTTGATCAAATTTTAATTCTAAATTAAACACAAAATTAGATCTTGCAGAAAGAGAAATTGTAACAAAAATTTAAAAAAAAATACCTACTAACTGATTTTAATACTTGTTCGTTCTGCCAATTACCAACAATTTTTTAATTTATTTTTATTGTGTAATCGATCATATGAATCTACTTTCATACTCTAAATTAGGACTTAGATTCTATTTAATCGTACCGTTCTTTTATAATATGACGACCAATTAAATATTACCTAACCTATTTTAAAGAGAATGTTGTTTTTAACTTTCTTTTTAAAACTTTACGCACAATAAACAATACTTAGCCAGTTCGAGACAAAAGTAGGGCAATTATGATTTGTGGATTTATCATTGGAATACGAGTACATCTCTATATACGTTAAATGGAACGTACTTAACGTTAAATTTCTATTCCATTCAGTATTTGAGCAAACTAAGTCAAAGTCGTCTTAAGTTTAGTAGCAAATGAGGACTTACTCGTATACGATTACATTGTTTACCATTGAAGGCGCAATATCAATTATTATACCGCAGTTTGCTAATACACTGAGAAAACTTGAAAATTTTTCATCAAGCTTTCGACGATTCTTTTTAAATTCTTTTCTTTTTTTTATGATTTTTTTTCTTACAATTGATTATTTGAAATTAACATATACAATGTTATCAGTACAAGGATCTATACAAATAAATTATGATATAATGAATTAAAAATTAAATCGACCTATAAATTCTATAAAACAGGTTTGACTTTTAGAAAAGGAAAGAAAAATAGAAACAGACTAAATATGTACTTTACTTAATTAAATTTGTTAAATGATATTTGTAATATAGACATATATATATTATAGGTAAACAATTGGACAGATTTTAAGGAAATTTGATACGCAAGTATATGTCCTACATTCCAACGCAAACAAACTTACCGGATACCGACAATTAATAATATGTGATTTAATATAAAAAGGTACTAAATATTTTAGGTATTATTTAATTAAAATCCAATTACTATTTAACTTTATTTAAAATAAAAAAAAAATTACACCGAGTCAAGATTGACGGTTATCATTACAAAAAATATTATAATTAATAGAGTTTTGAAAATCACTTCAATTCGTAAACTTAAAAAAGAAACTATGTAGAATACCTAATTAAAAAAAAAACCTGTTTTGTTTTTCCAGCTATTCTGGTAAAAAAATTGTTTACATTTTTTTAATGTCGTTTTTGACGATCAGATACGTTAATTAATTCACTGTTATTAGAAAACTGCAAAACTAAGAAAAACTATTGAATTGGATCTATAAATAAAATTCAAATAACAACTGTACAAGTTCTTTAAATACACTAAAAAAAATCTATAGATACCGAAATGAAAACAAAGTGAAATGTTATAATGTATCGCTTTGTTTTTATTTTATTATTTATAGATAAAAAAGTTGATAGCAAACATTTAACATTAATAAACTTGCACCTGTTTCACCACTCACAGTTTAATATCACAAGCACAGATCCAATAACATTACACAATTTCACTGCGCAAATCAAATGAAATTATTATTTGTTAGTATATAGACACAAGAATATAATATGACTATTCATCCACTTTGTAAAAGAAAAGTAATCAACTGTATTGATGTAAACATGCCAATTATTGCGAGCACGTGGGCGATACGCGAGAAGTATCAAAAACAAACATTCCATCCATATCCCAATATACTGAAACACGTTCGTATTATTTTATTACTTTACAAATCACCGGCATTTTAATTTAATCAATCCGTTTGTTTGTTATCTGTATACCTTGTAAACAAAGGTTTATAGAACATGAGATATCATATCAAGGATGGGGGTACCTACGTCCGATAGAGGATGCGTGTAAGTGTAGCGATGCGCGACCGAGCGCGGAGTTACGAATGCGGTGCGACTACCACGGCGCGGTGGGTACCAGAGCACCGTTCGTGGTCACCGATTTGCAGAGACAGCACGAGTGCGATGTCGCTGGCAGCCTTTGTACATACGTCCCACCTCGAGCGGGCGTTTAATGCGCGGGTATTTCGGTAGATCACAGCCATCTGACAAATCACGACCATGCGACCCGGCCTCAACGAGCACTCTAATAATAAACTTGTTTATATTTTTTTATTCTCCATGACTTTTATTCTGATTTCACGTTGCCCACGACCGGCGTTACCGTTCGTTACGAAGACCTCGCTCGCTGACCTCCAGAGCCACGTGCGCCTCAAAATAGACAGGGGACGCGACACTTAAATTGTAGTTTCTAGTAGGGAATCTATTGAGGGCAGATAACGTGTATTGGCGCCAAATTTTGTGACTGTGAATGTGACTTGACGAATTTATCCCAAAGAAGAGCGTGGGCGTAAGACAATCGGCGGCACTGATGCCGGTGATACATACCGAGATAGTGTCCGATATGGCACTGCAGAAAGCGCCAAAGCCGGTGGGCGCGGGTGGCGCGCTAGTCGGGCTGGACGGCGGGCTACCGCTCGCCCGGTCCATGTCACGTTACTCGCGGTGTGCCCCGGCGGTCCGCAGAGCACTGCCGACTGCCGTCGACGCAACGTTCGCGCCCTCGCGTTACATAAAACTCGATGCTCGCTCGTTGAACGCTCCCACCTGTCTGTTGTCGCTTCGTTCTAGCATCACATGCATGCAACCCACAACAATAACACACAATAATTATAGAAAGTCTATTTTAACCGCACTCATATCTTAAGAGACATACTAAATTGTATCTTAACATAGCATATGGCCTGAGAAGTAGGAAGATATTATTTTAATTGATCTAATATTTATTGGACAGTAATATATCTCTGATCAAATACAGTCTGTTTATATCAATTGTCAATTTTCCTGAAACAGTACCTAATGTAACTATGTGGTGGCATAATCCAACCATGTCGTTGTTGCCACTAGTACTTATTTCTAGAAATAACTTTAAAATAAATAAACAGAAAAAAATTAAATCACGCATTTACATAATATATGATCGTTTTAAACTTAAGGATCCATCATCTGAAATGCCACTATTAGCTACCTATTGCTAAGAAACAGAAACAGACTTATAGGTAATAATAGTGTCTCAAAACCGTATTTATAAAATATTTGCCATAATAATTGCAACCAAGTTATCAACGGTAGAAAACAATTATATAAAAGTCGTCTGCTCCTATACCACTAAGCTGCATCTCATTTCCACCGAGAAGCATCTGTCCTCGCATGACTGTGTTTGGTTTGATGAGTGTGTCATTAACTTTTTTTTTTATTTTTTTTATACAACTTATAATGGCAAACAAGCTGACGGCCCACCTGATGGAAAGTGGTAACCGTCGCCTATAGACATGAGCAGTACCATGCACATAACAGAGTATTCTGTTTCGCCCATGATACCCCCCATGCGTTGCCATTCCTGAGGACTCGTATTCGTACTCTTATTCCTCTGTCCATTGTTGACGGTATTCCCCTTATGGGGAAGACTTATGGTCTAAGTTTTGTCAGTAATTGCCACGCCTGGTAGGCGGGTTGGCAGCCGCTGTTAGGTTTTTACTGAATATTTTAAGGACGCTGCTGCCCATCTCTACTATTAAGATCTCTTAGTTGCTTCTTACGGCACCCACGGGAATGGAAGAGGTGGCCTATTCTATGCCGGGACCACATGGCGGGTGGATATGATGATTAATGGATAAGGCAATATAATTATTGGATCTGAAGGCATAAGACATGTTATTCAGGAATGGTAACGCATGAGCATCACAGTGCATTCTGATATATCCTCGATGATGTTTATGTCTATAAGCGACAACTACCACTTTCTATCAGGTGTATCGTGAGCTAGTTTGTTGATTTAAGTATAATAAGAAAAAACAATACAATAACGTACTATTGGATACAAGTCGTGCACGATACAATCGTAAATATACCGATAGCATAGCAGTTACAATTTCACTTTCGCCTATTAAAAAAAAAACACGATTGCTAGCAATATACCATATCAGGTCGACCTACCCGTGATTTCTGACGATTAATTCTTGTTGATTCGTCACAATGGGTCATCTGACTGACTGCTTTCATACTCATACTGATCATTTCACTGATGCTCTGTCAGCGTATACCAATAGCGCAGGCGTAGTACCATTCTATTTTTACCTATAAAAAAGTACAGGTCGACCTCCACGCGGTTTCCCTTGAAAACTATCACGGTTCATTCTAATTGAATTCGTCAGAAAGAGCTAACTAACCTGCTGCCACCCCACCTTTTCCGTTCGATAGCGCAGGCAGGATTATCATTCCATTATTAGCTACATAGTATGAATAAATAAATCTTAATTCTTGAATTATTGAATGAATTAAATAATCTTATTTCAAATAGTAATATTACAGGTAATAATTTGTGTTAGTATTATTATTGACGTGGTAACTAATATTAGATTTTAGATACAGCTCATTTCTTGCTTTAGTTTTTAGGAAACTGTGGACTGAGCTGAAGTTTAAGCACACATAACAGTTGCGACATGTTCATATACCTACCTATGTTTTTCAGTTTCTATGAACTAGGCATAGGAACCATTCGCATCTCTATAATTCAGCCTGATAAGCTGCATATACGATACAATTAAGTTAGCTAGAGTTACTCAGATCATCGGTGAGAATAATTCAGTTGCTGGTAATTTAAGTTTGATATAAATTGAAGTTGACAATTTAGCTATAGAAATATACCAGTTGATAGTTTCAGTTAAGAGCTTTATAAGTTAGCAACTACCTAAGTAACAGAATCCAGCCGTAGATGCGAAAATAAACAACATTGTTGGTCACTATTTGAATCTGATAAATGGTAGAGGAAGGAAGCACACGTTTAAATAAAAAATAATAATGATTTAGGTACTGATGCTGAAGATTGTTATCACTAAAAATTTCATAAGCAATGAAAAATATATTATTCCAGGGATTTCTATTTTTTTTTTTTAATGTTGACTGAAACATTGAAAGAAAAAGTTAAAAGAAAGAGACTTCTTTCATGAATACCCATACACATATTGTTCCCTAATATTCTGTGAATAATTCACATACTTCAACACAATAAAGCGTTGTAAACAATTTTTTTAAATAAAACTGGTTACTTTCGAAAACTTTGATGATTGGATCAGTATATAAAGTATGTGTTAAAATAGGATATAACTTACCCAAGTGCCAAATTTTATACAAATCCGTTCAGACGTTTAAATGTAAGTGAGTAAAAAACATATAAACATCTTTTATAATATTAGTAGGGTATTGGTACCAGGGAAAGTAGAAGAGGGAACAGCATATAACAAAAATGTATGTAAAACTTCATGACTGTTGTTTCTGTTGTAAATCGCCGCTCCCGTCTATTAAACACCTGTTTACACATATTTTTATTTCGTGACGATTTTATACAATACTATAATTTACCACGTGCAAAATAAAACTATTAATTCAGTGACAGTTAGCAACTGATAATTATCGTGTTAAAATGTCAAGCAAATTATTTACGATCTTCACTGCATTATATTATTACATACTTGTAGTGAAATGTGGAAGAGTAAAAAGAGTGGTTAATGGATATGAAGTGGCGTGTGGTAGATACATTTTAACATTGGTGATATATATTGTTTCATTTTTATTAATTTCGAAATATATTATTAAAATTTGTAATAGCGTAAAATAAATTGTCTTTTACTATCTTCTTTACGTTTTATTATGACCGGAAACATCAATTTAAAATTCGACATATTCGATAATATTCCATTCAATACGAGCATACAATATATATATTTATTCTTCGTATATATTAATTACTCGGATACACAATATAAATTATCAATTACAAAAATATAATTTTCAACATCTTAATAACGATTTACTAATTCTGTTCTAATGGAAATTTTTCTGTGCCATATATAAAAAGACATGGATTAAACAGTTCTTTCAACCAACTTTTTCATAAATCAAATTTAGAGTCCTTTTTAACTGGCTTCAAAAAAGAGATAATATTCATCAATCATTAATTAATAGACGGATTATTTATTTCTACGGGTTTGGTTTTATTGAACTCATTTTATCAATATTTTCATTTGCAAGAACATCATTATTATATTTTTATCGTAACTATTCATTTAAATTAAATTTTAAATTAATTTATTTAGTATCTTGTCTTAATAATTTGTTACTTCATCAAATTCAGATTTTAGATTTATGTTTCCTGGAATATGAAGCGTTAATTTTAATTAACCAATATTTATGAAGGAATGCTATAAATGTCTATAATGTTTGCCAATAGGCGCTCAGCCGAGAGTGGCATCATTACGGAACATAACGAATGATCAGCACATCTGCGGCGTCACTTTACTGTCCCCGTTGTTTGCGCTGACAGCCGCCCACTGTGTCCAACGCGAACCCCATCAGTACACAATCCAAATTAACAACTATTGTCAACAACCGCCACCGAAAGCTCAGGTGCTGGAGATCATTACTCACAAATTATATGACAGGTGAGCAATTACTATGATTTATGTATATATGATTGGCAAGGTTTCAATTTATGTATTTTTCCCTTTATTCGGAAATTATAAATACATATTAGAATTAAAAATATTGTAGGTATTTCTCTAACAGTTCGATCCAATTGAATTTATATCCACTATCAGTAATATGTATAATGTTTGGCACACAAAGGTAATGTAAGGTCGGATTCAAATTCTGTTTAATTGAATCGAGGTAGAGATAAACCAAAAAGCCAGTGTGAAGATGGTCTAATGATTCATATATTAGCAAACAAATGTTTGCATTACAAAATAATACAGATATATCTATATTATAAAATCACATATAGGGTATACTCGAAACTCGATACCATTAGCACCTTACGGATTTTTTTATACCACTGAGGTAGTAAACAAGCATACGACCCACCTGATGGTAAGTAGTTATTGTAGCCTATGAACACATGCAATACCAGAGATATTACGCGTGCGTTACCGACCCTGAAGAAACCTCTTTACCCCCCTTTTGAAGAACCCCATGCTGTAGTCTCCTGGGAAAACCTCGGCAGGGAGCTCATTTAGGAAGTGCTCTCGTATAAGCAAAATTCACATCCTAAATTTTCCCGTGAGAACCGTAAGAGGCGACTAAGAAAATTTAATAGACGAGGAATGCTCAGCAGCGTCCCTCTAAAACATCAACAAACGTAACTGCGGTTGCTATCCCGCTTGCCAAGAATGGCAACTACGGGCAAAACCCCCTTTATAGAGGAGGCCTATGTTTAGTGGTAAACAATTAACGGCTGATATGACTGACAAGGTACTTCTGACAGACAAATTAGCATACCAAAATTTATTGTCTTTTTCGACCCGTTTCTTTGATAAAATTGTTCAGTAGAACAGCTTTAAATAACGCGAATGGTATCAATTTCACCCTGTATAGATGTAATGACATTTATATTGTTTCTCCTTTTTCCTCTGAACATTTTTTATCGTTTCAGATTGTCGTTAGCTCACGACATTTCTTTGCTACGGATAAACGTCGATTTAGATGACGTGACATGGCTTAATGACACAGTATTACCTAAATCGTCGTTCGGCTTAGCAGGTAACAAGCTGATAAAGAATATTTCATAAACGACTCATAAAAACTATCTCTCCATACAAGTAGATAATATATCTACCTACTTAGTATATGAGGACCATGATGATGCTACGTTAATTGTTGCAGCATTATTATTTTTTTATTGTTGCAAGTTTCATGGTTCTGGTTAAAATAATAGAACAATGTCATTGAGAATTCTTATATGCTTAAAATTGTCATAATTTTCAATTAATGAGTTTTGATTTGTGTTACTAATAATGGTATAAATGGAAATTTTGAAAGATCAGAGGAATGATAGAAATCATGTAGCTGAACGTTATTGGGGCTGAGATATTTAAAATAAAAATGCTGCAAAATTGTGTACAAGTTTGTAGAATTTTATAAATATACCTGTATTAACTTAAAGTACTACAAAATAATAATAAAATAAACCAATGCTTGCTACAAAATAATAGATTAGGTTCTACAAAAAAGAAACACCGACTTCAATCAAACATGGCAAAATCAGTAATTTTGATTTGATACTAGACTACTAATTGCTATGTATGACCCGGCATAGACCCTTGAGTGTCATAAGAAGCAACTAAGGGCAGCTTATGGTGGAAGGATAGGCAGCAGCGACCTTCTTAAAACATTATCAAAACCAATCTGCGATTGCCAACCCACTTGCCAAGTGTGGAAGCTACTGGCTACCCCCAATTATAGAGGAGGTTATCTTCAGTTGTGGACAGTTAACAACTGATACAACAACCAGACTACTAAACCGACTGATAAAATTTTAGTGAAACCAATCTGAAAATATATTCCTTCAAATAAAAAAAAACGCTTTATTTTTAAGTCGGTTGATAATAAACTATACAAACCGATACAAGGCTAAAACATTTTATCACTGACAAACATTAACAAACACTTAAAAATGTATTAAGTTAAAATATTTTTATCTAATAAAAAAAATGTCTGCAAGAATTATCAGACACACGAACGAATAAGCTTTGAAAGTACCTACATTAAGAAAAAAGTTATGAATATAACTTTGTAACTTATGAATGATTGATAGGGACACTTTCGTGTTATAACTTCATAGATTAGATACTGGTGATTGATTCTAAAATAATGTTCTCTGAAATATCATTTGGTATAGTGAAATATGGGATAATGTATTATCTATAATGACCGTGTTTCGTTGGTAAACTTTACCTTTTGACAAGTCTCAAATCCATCCGATATAAATCTTATATGTATGCTTATGTTTTTCACAAGATAAAATCAGCTTTTGGTACTAATTTAGTACTTCGATCAATAAAAATTTGCCATTTTCATTTTCAATATTAAACAAAATAATTCTAGTCAAATAACCAGTGATATGAATTTTCGCATGATAACACCTAGTTCAGTAAAATATTCATTTTCAGACTTCATTGATCCCGATTTCAGGTCAGTGCATGATTTATGGTTACGGTTACGCGGATCTAAAATCTAAACAAACATCTGAAATACTATCAGTCGCAAAAGTGCAATTAATATCGTTAGATGAGTGCAAGGAGATTCTGGGTCCTGTTGCTCCCGAATATGACAGTGGAATGTTATGTGCAGCTGGGATTGAAGCTGATTCATGTCAGGTAAGTAGATCAAAGATATATCGGTCATTTTAATTTTTTATATTCCTACTATTTTCATATTTATTGTCTCTATTTGTCGTACCGTTTTTAGTCTCTAATGTAGATGTCTACGTGTTGGATAATTTTGTATGTATACATGTCAACGACCACCACTGAAACTGGCACAAAATTAATGTGGGACTAAGAGTGAAGCCTAATTAATTAAACTATAATCATTAAAATCGGTTCAAAACTACAGAAAATGTACTTACCAAATATAAGTTTGAGAGCCATCTACTTTTTAATGTTGTTTGAAAATACTAATATTTGCTACTATATACGTACCTACTTATCTACCTAAAAACATGAAATTGACTTTCACTGCATCTTAGAACATAAATGGCTGCATACCTACCGGTAGTGCGGTTTCAGAAGAGCTTACTAACACTCATAAAATTGTGGAAAAAGCTTTCTGTGAAGATTTTATCTAAAGACTATGATAGTGATTATTCATAAGGTACATATTAGTATTCCTAAGGCTTAGCAAACGAGCAACAGACGTTATAGGCGTCTATAACCTGCGATAACTATTTACTAGAAGACGGACTATACCTAATTCTTATTAACCAACTTTGTGGTACCTATAAAATATATAGACCAGTATATGTGGCAATATCGAGAATGACGGCGTATAATTTTGCATATGCGGTAGGATAAAAATAAATTGTATGTTTTATATTATATATTTCTTTTTAGGGCGATTCCGGTGGTCCTGTGCTATGCAATGAATTTGAAATCCAAGGAATAAGCAGTTACGGATTAAGCTGTGGAGTACCAGGCATACCTGCCGTATATACCAGCATTGGCCCTCATTTGCAGTGGATACGTAAAGTCACTAACATCAGATAAATTCAACATCGATTTTAAATTTCCTAACTATTGGCATATTTAAGATTATTTAGGGGGTAGAGGTGAGCTAACCCTTAAAAAAGATGTACAAGTACCTTTTCTCAGATAAAGCTCCGCTCTGCTCCCATAAATATGCTTATATACTTAACAATCATTCCAATACATTATAAAACAATCATAACATGCATATAAATAGATATGTGTACTTAATAGATTCGAAACTAATTGATTTGCCACGACTTCGTTTACGTAAATATTACGTTTAGATTAGACCTCACCTATATAATTTCCCGATTTAAAATGCCCTTATCTCATATATTGATCTATACTTATTACTAGTTTTACACGCAATTTCGTCCGCATGGCCGTAGTAATATATATAATACATAATATATATAATATATAATACTTGAACATGATGAAAAATAGCTTTTGTCCTTCCCAATCCTATACAGTACCTATGTATATAAGTATCAAATTTCATAACAATTAGTTACACCATAAAGACACCAAAAGATAAACTCACTTTCACATTTAGTAACTTTCTAAGTGATTTAAGGATTGCTACTCAGATTAAAATCTGTCCAGAATTTTAAATATACTTAGGTACGTATCGTATACTTACCTTCCAGTCGATACGTTTCGGAAATAGTATATAACACCAATAGAACCATTACCTAAGTAATAACAATTTTATGATGTACTAAGGTATTAGAAATACGACCACTTAAGATCGCAGGCGAAATGAAGAGGCCATATTTGTACCTATAGGAGAGTAGATAGATACTTAATAAAACTGACATCGACCATAAAATATAATTTAATCAACAACAATTTTATTACCTATACACATTTATATTTTCCAAGCGTTTCTTGAAAAAACGGAAGAAATAACCAAGGAGCAAGAATAACCTTAAAGATACATTAACAGTTTTATAGCTAATACATTTTTAATGAGTTAGTGATTGGAAACAAACCGCATTGGTTAGATTTGAGTGTTAAACCCATTTTAGTGTTTAGTTAAATGGAGCACGTTCCATTTTTCTGTGAATAACTACTAAATACATAAGTGCATAACAGCCAATAAACACTAGCAAGGAAGACCAATGCAATATCAGTCCCCCATATGTTTATAATGAACAGTATCTCGCCTATAATAATACTTACATTAAATTGTAAGGAGTATATTACACTATCAAATATAGATATTAATTGTTAATATCTATAGCAATTTATCCACCAGGCAGTGCTGTATTTTCAACAAGTAACATATACATATATATATGAGAGTGAAACAAACGAATACCCATCGGGTAACGAGTGAAAGCACTTTCAATTTCCAGTCTGTATATCGACTTAAATATACGAATGTAGGTATATATATTTAATAGTGTAATATAACCCTTAAGAATAATATATAATAATGCTATATAGCTACTTTAACCCATTTCAAAATTAACACATATTGTCGTTCAAAATAAATGCCGGTACTTGCATAACTACAAAGACCTTACGCGACATTTCTCGCGATACACCAAACGATTTACCCGAATACTTAGATACAAAATATCTCCTAGTATCACTAATAAAAATAAATAATTTAAGTAAGTATATTTATTAAAAATCATCTAGTGAGATCACTTTTATGCGGGGGCCTAATACGAAATTATAAATCTGATTATTCATAGGAATAATCAGATTTCGTGGACATGGATTTCGGCTATCCGAAATCCATTGACTTGATCGAACTCATTGTTTAGTGTAACTCCAATAATCGATCTAATCAAATGTGTTCGTAATAGAACTCACAAGATACCTCTAATACTATTATGAAAATTTGTACCGACCGAAAATTTTTATCCAATAAAGATCGTAACAGAACTTTCGGCCAAAACTTCAGATTTGTCACGTAAACGTACACCCCTGTATTTATTATTAAGATTATGTATACATCATGATATTATATATATGATAATGTAATATATTCCTTAGTGGATGCTTAATATATAATACAAAATTTAATATTACTAACTCGAATAGATTTTTCCATGCGTTGGTAGAAAATTTTGGACATTCCTATTTGCATTAAATAGACGGATAATATATTCGATAGTCGAACACTGACACATATTAATTCGTAATATTGTACCTAAATATACCTAATACTCCTTATATTATTTTTCCATTTCGTCACCAAGTGAAATAATTACTCATTTATTTTATTCCATAATCTATGTAATAAAATACTGATTTTTTTATATTTGTAACGTAAATAAAATCAATGAAATCAGAGTATTTTGTGAAAATATCATTAAATTATTAAATATATACTAAATATATTTTACTACATATTTATAAACTAAATATATTTAACTATATATTTATAAACTAAATATATTTTACTATATATTTATAGATTAAAGCACAGAGGTAGATAAACATGTCTAAACCTTCAACTGATTTTAGCAAAAAGTAATATTGTATTGATTCGGAGTTTTTAAGTATATAAATTATTACAAAATTGCAACAGCGGGTAATACATCCTTAGTCAGATAAAATTAATTTTTTTCTAACATCGTCAAATATTTGTATATGTATTGTGTAAAATAGCATTCAAATATTTCAATTATTACGTATCCATTTATACAAAATAATAAGAAAGATTATAAAGATATTGAATAATAATCGTGTGACTGGAAAGCGTAGATAAAAAAATATAAATATGGGTAATATAAAAAGGAAAAATTAGATTAACATGTACGTTAAAGCGAGATAAACAGGTAGATCATATACATGCTATTAGTCTGTCTATAGCCTGATTACTTTTGCGTTTCAGTGTTATTCGTTGTACGTGTACGTAACTAGTCCGTGTAAAATGCATACCTTTAAAAATAATGACAAGTCTTAAGTCGTACTGACAAAATTACCACATTTAATCCAAATACAGCTTTGCTTTCTTTTTAATGCACATATATATATATATATATATATTAAAACAGGTAAAAAGCGTACATAAAAAATCGTCCCTTGCACAAGCTAATTTCATTCTTAATAGAATTCTATGGGAATTATATTTTATCAAGTGACAACATACGTGCAAAATCTTCATTTTCTTACCGGGAAAATATTATCTGAATTGTTTATATTTAGCATAAAATTTTGGCATGTGTTCTTATCCAAATAACAGGTGATAAATATACTATACTATGATTTTCTTCGTTTTCCCGTTTCGCACTTTAGTTATTTTATATTCTACTAGCGACCCGCCCCGACTTCGCACGGGTGCACATTACATCACATCACATTAGAAACCTCTAAAATTATGAGTGTTTCTTTGCTATATTATGCATGTATTATACATATAAACCTTCCTCTTGAATCACTATATCTATTTAAAACAACTGCTTCAAATTCCATTTTTTTGCACAGTTTTAAAGATTTAAGCATACATAGGGACGGACAGACAGCGAAAGCGACTTTGTTTTATACTATGTAGTGATCATTCTAGCGATATCAACTTTGTCTTATGGCGCTTATATAGTCAATAAAAGCTACATTTTTATTATTCATAATAAAGTAAACAAAAGTGAATTTACCAACAAGCAATAACAAATCCAGGTCTTAATAAATTTGTATAAACTAATATTAATATTCAATGTTATTGGTTTCTTTATCTCGTCGATTACATAGATACTGGATACTTGCTCAGAGTTTTAACCACATTAACTTTATGCTTACAACATTTAAGGTCTAAATTAGACTGACGACTAAAGTTATAATAGACGCGAAGTGATATCATATTACTTAAAAAAAAAAATCTCTATATACAATTGTATATGAGATTAGCATACAAAATTGCGACAACTATAAGCTCCACTGCTTATATATATATATATATATATATATATATATATATATATATATATATATATATATATATATATATATATATATATATATATATATATATATATATAACAGTATATAAACATATACTTAAAAAGGTTTTTGTTTTAATTGATTATATATGTTTTTTTATTGTACTAATTCAATGATAATAATGACAATTAGAAATAATACGAGAATGGTGTAGTTACCTAAAAGAAATTTCCTCCAATTAACATAAAGCAGTAGTATAAGAATTAGTGGGGATATTAGTATTTATCTATTTTATTACTAAATTCGATAAAAAGAAATACACAATTGTTTACTAATTACGGCAAGTACAAAAAAATACAATAATCGAGACCATGAATGGGGTTATATATAATATACATTTATTTACAATAACATAAAATAAAGTAAGAGTACGGTCACTCCCTCCACCTCTTATCAGACCAAGTCTACACATTTAAGTGGTACCTACATATGCTAGTGTATAGCTCATTATCATAATTTATAAATATGGCACTCGACAAAATGTCGACAGTTGCTGATCTGCGTCAGTCACTATGGATGTTAGTATGTCATTGCTTAATTATATTGATTTTTCAAAATAATAAACAGTCGATATAGACAATGTTTAACACTCACTATATATTCAAACATTTATAAGTGCATTAGTCTAGGTAACCCTTATTTACTAATAAAACAGTCACAACAAAAACATACTAAGCGATCATCACTTTAATTATCACTTGAAAAATATCAAACATAATTTGCAATTTCTGCAGTCAAGTTACAAAGAATTTAATAAAGACATTAAGTATATTTACTTTTACCTGAAGTAATTTAACCTTTTAACAGAAATATACAGCATAACAATGATAGATGGATGACATGATAATATTTGAAGGCATGACATGAACACAAATGTTCCCAAAACCAAACCCTGTATCGGCAGCGAGAAGAGATCCAGTGTGACTACTTATTTTAATAGCTTTAAGACCATGTAAACCACGACCTGGTCTCAGCTGAGGGTGTAGAACCTGAACTCTTGGGAGTTTTAGGACTCTTTGGTGTATCCGGTTGTGACTTTGTGGCCTCTTCCGCATCAGATTTGCCTGCTGCATTTTCTATAGTTGTTTTCAGCTGTAATTCATAATTTTAAGTAAACATTGTATAAGAGATGTTTTAAATTTGGCATCATACTGTATTACCAGAAAAACAATAAAATTATTTCACTAAGTTTATTTTTCCACAAAAATAAATGTGTTATTTTTTTGTATGTTTAGAAATATTGACTCTAAAAACTGTCATAAGAATAAAAGGAAAATCTAATGTGTCCTAAATAATTATTTTATATTTATTTTTTACATTTGGTTTTAATACATTTAAAATTTTTCACGGACAACAAGAGATAAATGTATTTGAAGAATATCTTTTCTGGACGAACTAACAAGCACATCGACGTAGAATTTTCCATCAACTGTCTGGCCTGGAGGGACGAATTCTTGTATCAACATTGTCTTGACATTTATTTTCTTATTTTTTTGTTCGTGGTTGGATGTTTCACTTTGCTTTCATCTTGCCGAGTTTCTTACGACGCGCTGCTCTTCAACAATAATCACAGATGGCGTGACAAGCCATTCATCGGCGGTCAGACCAAGCATTGTTAGGGACATAAGGAAAGCCTCCCCACTCCTCTTTCTCGCAGTCCAGAACACTTTTATACGAACTTTCCGGACAGACCTCGTATAACAAGAGATGAGAAATTAGTACCTTAATATTAGTTTTTGCTTGCATTTCACGTTCATATTCTCTTACATCTTCAATAGTCATGTTGTACCATTCATCCATCCAAGCAAAAGCTTGTCGATGACCTAGAAGCAGTACTTCTCGTATCGCCTGCAACAAATAGTTTTTAGTTAAATTGGAAAAAAAATGTTTACAAAATAACAAAAACCATATAAAAACATTTGTGTTACCAAATACTAACACAATGATGGATTGTTTTGGTTGTATTACTTTTATTTAGATTATATCATTTTCTCTTAAATTATTATCTACTTAAACTTACTACGTAAAGAAAAAAATCAGAAAACTGTAATTTTGTAATTATTTCACAAAAAAAATTAATCTTGATGATTTTGTAAGGAAACCTCGTTGTGCGAGTCCGACTCGCACTGGACTGGCTTTTTTTACTTTTATTTTTATCTGTAACTAAAAAGTTGTAGTAAAATCTACTTTCAATAATTGTAATATTCGCTAAACACTTACACTTTGCATCGCAAAGAAATATGAGTAAACAACTGTGATTTAGGGAGATTGATAATAGTGGAGACATCAATTCCCAATATCTTTAAATAGCAGTATGTTATTGAATATTGCACATTTACAAAAAAGGTTTAAAACACTTACTCCTTGCACATATTCCTCCACCCTGGTCTGCAAACCCCAAACTTCAAATTTTACATTTACTAATTTGTAACAGCACATAATCGGTTTCTGTGTATCTCGCCACCCCTCAACCAATGGACCGCGACCAGTCTTCTCTGATTTGAAAAATTTGGGATCCTCTGATTCTTTGTAATGATGTGGTTTTATCTCATCATAGGCTATGTCAAGAAAATCCACCTTCCTTTGTTCAAGTTCTTCTGGGGTCAAACCCAAGCACTAAAACATTGGTTTTGTTTCTATGAATATTTTAGAGCATACTATTATTTTATATAGACAAATTGCAGAATACAGCTAGATTTCAATAAAGATACAAATACACTATTTTAATAATAACTTACATTTTCAGTAGTGCCATTGTTGTCCTCATACCGTGTTTGTATGGAAATAGAGAACTTTGGAATAAAAGAACACTGAAACATGAACAAATAACAATACATTGGATATACAAAATAATAATATCAATAATAAAATGTAATATCAATACAAATATAGAAAATTATCCGTAATACTTACTGTATATTCTAAAGAGACCATTTAATAAACATGAAAAAAAGAAAACATCATAATTAGTTATTAATATTTAAATCTATTTGAAAAGCTTATTATTACTTTAACAGAATGTACATTACCAGTTATTGTGTAAGGATAGTAATTCCAAGCCTTTTCAGTCACATAGAATATTTTTGGTATTAATGACTGCAGCCAATATGGCAAATGACTGAAATGAAAAACAAGAATTATTTGTCTTACCAGCTAAATTAATATTAAAAATACTAAATCAGTTGAAACACTGTAAGTCAAAATCATACACTTTTATACATATAATTATACACTTAAACAAAATAAATAAATTTTAATAATAATAATTGTGTCAAATAAAGCTCATAAGATATCAGTCATTAACTATCCACTGATCAACATAGGCTTCCCCAATAAGGGAAGTTTTGCCAGTACTTGCACACTTGGCAGGTGAGTTGGTAACCACAATTAAGGTTTGGTGATGTTTTAAGAGAAACACTGCTGTCCATTCCTCGACCAATAAATTCCCTTAATCACCTCTTACAACACCCGTAAGAAAAGAAGGGGTGGCCCAAATAAGAACTCATACAATTGTAGGAATCACATATATGGTCTATAGTACAGGTATGCAACATAAAAATACAAATAAAAAATATAGAAGCTTTAAAAATTTTTTCAATATACAATAATTATAATTGTTGTGGCATCTACACAAGCAAAAAGTTATATTTTTTATATAACACACATACAGTGGATTTTAGGAATAACGATGATGATGAAGGGACCACTCTGACTTTTTTTCGTTATATCCGGAAGTCGTTACAGGAAAAGATAAAGAGATACAGACACATACACATGTATAGTTTTTTCTTCACACAAATTAGCATTGTTTTCATCGTTTTTCAATTTTGAAATAATTTCCACCTTTTCTTTAACAGTGAATGTGCGTAGAGGCAGTCATACTTATTCAAAAGTTTACTAAACTCAGTTGCTACTCAGAATATCACTTTGTAACTGAACCATAAATTCAACTCTGAAAGGTACACATTTTACTACCTAATTAGCTGATATCTATAAACAATAGGTAAAGGCCTTCATACTTGCTAACCATTGGTGTGGATGTAAACAAAAGTTTAGAAATGTTTGTGAAAGAAAGAAATCTTGGTGTCTTATTGGCGGCTAAATTCGGTTGCAATATCTGTATGGGATTTCTAAGAATTTGTTACAAATGATTCATTAAAAACAGTTGCTACACCTGAATTCGGCGTTACATCCAAAGTCTCTATAGCCACAAGAATTTTGTACTAAAGCATGCTTTAAATTCAAGGGACTTAGATTTAATGTCGCTATAGGTACATGGTCGCTATAACCAAGGTTGTAATAAATTAAATCCACTATATATAATTAATATAATTGCTGTAAATGCCAGTTTGGTATCATATGCTACTCAACAATACAGGTAGCATATTCAATAATTAAATAGTATTTAAATATCAGTACTATCCTGCCTGCCAGTACCATTGTCATTCCTTTTTACTTACCTTTTTGTCTATAAATATAGCTTATTTCAATTAGATGCTGTTAAACATGAATATAAATATATCGTCAATATGTGATATGTGGTAAATCAAAATATAAGTCATAAAATTTTTAATTATTTTGCTGAAAGTACTCAGTAGTCTCTCATATGAAAGACTACCTAATTTACATATCATACCATGACCAAAAGCATATAATATTCTCTTTTTACCTAGACAAATGAATCCTCTTTTCAGTGAACTGGCCTGGACCATTAACCTCATCATGTACTTCTTCATTAGCTACAACTTCCACACCTTCACCATTGCTAGACTGCTCAAAACTATGACGAGCAATCATATAAAGCTGACCAATTTGATACTGAAATTTAGAACTTCAATTACAAATCACTCTATCATATATATAAAAAAAATGTTTCAATGTTTGTCATTTAATCATATTTAAATGGATTAACAGATTTGAAGAAAATTTGCTACACGATTAGGTTATATCCTAAATTAACAAATAAAATACTTTATATGCTGATGCATAGGGGCAAAGCAGCGGGAAACAGGTAGTCCCAAATAATAATCTATTCTAATAAAACACAAGTTTGTTTGAATGCGTTTATCTCTGGAAATAAAAGTCGAAATCAAAAAATTTTTTTTGCATTTAATAGCTTATTTCTTAAGGATAGGCTCAACATCGGGATATAGGACCACGAGCAAAGCTGCGGGTTACATATATTAGAATATATAAGATCAAATTCCACACTATTAAATGTCCAATAAAATAAAATAATTAATATTTACATTAGTTCATAATAATATAATATTAAAAAAAAAATGCAGTATATTTTATTACGTACTTACCTCTTTTACTTCCATAGGCATGCAAATACGATATTCATATGTGAGAACCATTATGTAAGTAAATTTTGATAATTAGAATCTTATTTCTGTTAACTTTCTGATAATATTTTCCTGATCTTCGACTTGGTTTTAATTATTATATATTTTTTTAATATCCTAGTATTGAATGATTGAATAAATATTAAAGACAAATCTATAGTTAGTAGGTATTTTCCTACATAGTACTTCTTGACATTGGCATTTGGTACAACAAATGTCAAAATAACATTTAACAATTGCATACCATAGAAGGAAATTATTCTAAATCTATTCCACAGGTGAGTGAGTAACTTCTTAGTGGGGGGAAAGTATTATTAGTAATGGGAAGGTTAGTCCCCTTTGCTATCAATATACCCTGTCAGGTCGACCTCCACGGTCCAGGTCCCCCTAGAAACTATCGTGACAAATTTATCGTTGAATTCGTCACGATGGGCTAAACTGCCTTTCCGAGGGGGAAAGGAATTGTTAGTAATAGGGTCTAACTGACTGCCAGCAATACACCCTATCAAGTCGACCTCCACGCGGTTCCCCCTGGAAACCATCGTGGTTAATTCTAGTTGAATTCGTCACGATGGGCTAACTGACCAACTTTCATCGTCATCTATTATCCCTTACTGGTGCCCCGCTAACGTATACCGGTAGCGCAGGCGGGGTTACCATTCCATTATCACCTATTAAAAAAAACCTGCCTTTTCATCCTCACCTATTTACGATTTACAAAATTACCATGCCATATTCACCCATTAAAAAAAATTTTTTAGATTATAAAGTTTAAGTACGTTATACCAAGTCTAAGTGTAACTCCCACCTACCCTATCGTAATATGGTAGTGGAATTCCAGTACCAGTAAGAGATAATAAGTGGTGACAACCTTATATTTAAGGCACATGAATAAGAAGGAAGAGTGGGTTACAGTAACATTCGAACCCTAGAATTTTGGGGAGAAAGGATTGCTAGCCAAAGGAACTAGAAGCCTCATTGTTAACAGTATATCTACCCTCTCAGTTCGAACTCCATGCAGTTTCTCCTGAAACGATCATGCTTAATTTCTATGTAATATATCATGATGGATTAACTGACCGGTTTTCGTCCTCACCCACATCTCTTATTGGTGCATCACCAGCATATACCATTAGAGCAGGTGGGGATATCATTCCATTTTTACCAGTTAAAAAAATTCCAGAATTTCCAGTGCCTACCTCAGGCAAAGCTTTACATGTCTAAAATTATGTATGTGCTTTATTTAAAGGACCAGTCCAAGTAATAAAAATTACTAGAATGTAACTTATCGAATCAACAAAGTATTTTAAGATAATGTCAAAATTTTTTTTACTAATTATTTTAATATGTACACTCACCTACAGTATGCTATATGCAAGAATATAGTTATGCTTTGTGAGAGATATGGATAGGTGGTGCAGTCTCCAGTATGATGACCTGTTGAGAGGTTGCACTATGTCACCAAGTACCTAAATATCAACTGAAACGATAATACTTATACATCAAATGTTTTAATATTTATTTCCATTTTTTATTCATTAAGACTTTATTTGCCCATCAGTCTAAAAAGTTACAATTTACTTAATAACTAAGATTTCATTTAAAATTTGTTATGTAAGCAAAATTAATTTATTAAATGGCAAAATATTTACATAGTCCAATAACAATAAAAAATGTGAAAGACAAACAGAAACTATTTATTGGACAATATTGTTACAGACTTAAAAGATACAAGCTGATCCTATTAACTATATAAAAAAAATGTAGAATGAAGTAATAGATATTTTTAAATGAAAATCTGACATTCCAATGGTTATTTTTCATCCCCACCTATATGTTTTCTATGTAATGTGTACTAATGAAAAAAAATTGTATCAGTTACCTAGTATACAAGCTTTACTTACAAATAGTATGGAATTAGATAGCACTGTACAATGTTCAATGGTATTTATTATTTAATAATATTCAATTTAGTGACTTTAATGGAATTAGAAAACATCATAAAATATATTTTTTAATTAACATAAACAGATGCCAAATCATCATAATCAAATGTTCTCTTTATAAATAAATCCATTAAAGACACACCAGTAATACTATGCAATCCTGTATTAATAGGAAGAGCTGTTAAATTTATACTGACAGATTTTCCAGGCTCTAAAGGACCTATTTTTCTATTTGATATTCCACACCATAGTAAGCTTGAATCTGGTAAAGAACGAAGTTTAAGAATAAGATTTAATGTCTTCTCACTAGCATTAACTACATTGCACTTGAAGGTGAAGGGTTCATCAACCGATACTTTGCTAGGAAGGTTTTCATAGGTTACTCTAATGTCACCATAATCAGGAGTCATCCTCTGCAACTGGCTAGTCTGCAACCTGCCTTTCTCACCTAAATTTGATCTCCAAACAATATCTAATTTGCCAATATTCTTTGCAGCAGCTAACAATTTAATGTCTTTAGAGATGTTTTCTTTTGGAGTGAGGCAATATAAGTACTGACAACTTTCTTGTGGTTGTAGTAGAGTAACATCACCAAATACAGATTGCCCATTGTCTAATTCATTCAGTGATTTCACAGTAAATTGTTGGGAACTTTCCAGTGATACCTGTTCTAAAGTGATTGCTCCTGATGTTATATTCTGTACCTGAGCTTCAAGATACACATCATCAGATTCAGCATTATAAAACTTAGTTTTAACATCTAATGGCTTCATCACTTCAAACTTAAAGAATTTCCTGAAAGAAGCCAAAGTATTGTAGTTTGACATATATGTCACTTCACACACCAATATATGTGTTCCAAGATCCTTTACTTCATGATGTATAACATCACTTAAGGTTTCATCTACATCCAGCATTGTAGGAGATTGGCTTTGTGTAGTTAAGGGAATTCTTTGAGAATTTGTCTGCAGGTCAGCTTTTATAGAAACACTTTGGACTGGCTGGTTGGTTTCATTATGGACACAAACATAACAGGAAAATGTTTCTCCTAAGTATATGTTACCAAAACTCTGTGGTAGCAATAAAAATTGCCCAGCTGCAAGAGTTTCCATTTGAGTAACTGATGTAGCATCATCTTTTAAATAGTTATTTAGTATATTTCCTGGTAAATCTTTAGAATCGCAAGTTACAATTTTTGGGCTGATTAAAGCAGGTTTCGTTAACCTCATTACTTTTAAGGCGACTAAATGTTCAACAACTTCCTTGGCATCCATTTTAACCACGAAATTAAGAATTCGTTACAAAATCAGTGAATTGTCTGGATAGTAGAAATTTACTGTCTAGATAGAGAGATATAATTGGTAATTCAATTCTTAATTTATCATTTATTTTAATCTAGGCCTAAGTTAAACACCTCGTCACCAGAACACATTATATTTAATGAATGTTTAAATTTTTTTTTTTGTATAATAGTAATTGCATTTCACATTCAGAATTTTTATATCAGAATTTATTACATTTATACAGCAATTACATTTCTACTTCTAATTCTTATCTATTTTTAATCTAATAGAATATTTAAAATACGTAGGTAAGTCAATCAGTAAATATCATTGCTTCAGTCAATAGTCAGTGTCAATATAGTGTCAGCTGTTAATGTCACTTTAGTGTGTCAATGATATTACTGTCCAACATAGAATGAGAATACCACTGACGATAGACAATACTAGTATTTACTAATCTATATTATGTTATACTTTAACTTTATTGAGACTTGCTCATAAATACTTATCTATCTAAAGAATTTTTAACAAACAACCTAAAGATTTCGGAATTAGCACGACCAACGTTCTCTTGCTAATTGAGATTGATTCTTAAGCGCCATGCTTTTTAATTTATCTCTAAAATTTTAATTTTATTTTAATGTTATAGTAAAATATTTATTATTCTTACCAATATAAACTAATTTTCTAATACATTTAAGTCAATATTATCATAAATTTAGTTTATGATTGTTGACTTATCGCCAAAAATATTAGGTTAAAAAATAGGTTTAAAGAAATGGCGCTTTAGAAGCAAGCCCGTTGTAATAAAGTACTTATGATAAAAATTACAGTAAATATCAAGCAATATTAGACAATCGTATTGTTTACTGTAAGAAGTAATGATCAGTATATTTGTTTAGATATATATATTTGATAAACTATTGTTACCGTCAAAGGTATTGATAACAAAGAACAGACTAAAAAATGTTTTTTTTTCTCTTCTCTATTTATAAAACAAATATTTTGTCTGGTGTCTCAGACATGCTCTTATTACCTCAAAGAAAAAAAGACGATCAGTATGCAACCAGTTCATCGAATTTAAAATTTTTATACATTACAATATAAAATAAAATAAAAATAATAATAAACAAACTTTAAACCTTTTCATTTTATCATTTCATTTAATTAAATTTTTGTTTTCACAAAGGTTGACTAGAAGAGAATATTATATAGCATTAAGGCCTTCCTTTGTACATTTTTATTTGATTGGATACATAAATACTTTTTTATATTCACCGTTATAAGAGGAGTGCCGACTATTAAATAACTTTATGCTTGTAATACTTTATGGTTTGTCTGAAATGAAATTATTTTTTTAGTTTACTTAATTCTTAGATTTAAATAACCTTACCGACATAATTTAATAAAGCTTGTTGAAAGTGAATAACTGTAAAAGTTGATTTTTGTAACATTTTCACAGAATGTCTATTTTAACACAGTGAAATTTTGTGCAACACAAATACTTTTTGAAGTTTACAGCGTAGAAATCTGATGTGGCCCAATCATGAGTCGAACTGTCTCTTAATAATTCTGTTACTTTTTTTGTTGTAACATTTGTATTATATTAAAAATAATCAATTGTAGGTATTTGAATAAAATTAACAGGAATGGCATATCAAACTCTATTACAAGAATACATGCTCATACCTCCAGTGACTAGGGCTTATACTACCGCCTGTGTTGTCACTACGTTAGCTGTTGTAAGTATATTTTATATTCTTTATAATGGCTTGTATTATAAACTATTGCTTGTCTTCTATATTATTTATCAATTGTAAAATAATGAGAATGTAGAATCTGTTAATACATCTGTATGTGTATATATATTTGATATTATCTTTTCTGAAAACTTTATTTAGCAGTAAGTAATGTGCGTTATCATATCAGTGTAATGGTCATCAGCTAGTAAATTTAATTCTATAGTAGTTCTAATAGAAGTCTCATTGTTGTTTGTTGAATAAATATCTTGGAAGATTTATGTTAATGTTTATAAATTGCCCTAATTGACAAATACTCTTAGGTATATTTGAGGCATTTGCCAGAAAAGTAACCCTAGTTAACCTAAAAAAACTATCTTTTACTGAATTCTAAAACAAGTTGTAGATTTATAAAATATCTGCTGATAAATCTCTATTTCAACTACATATCACATATTGAATCTGAGCTTTGATGTAAATCTGATTTAAAAATAAGAAAGACATGGTAAGATTGTTTAGAAAATGTACCAAATATATCATAATCAACACAATGTAATATTGTCTATGAATAAATAAATTACAATTATTAATTAATATATAACAAACTTTTAAGTTATATTCGAACATTATTAATAAATATAATTATTGTTTCAGCAACTAGATTTGGTGTCACCATTTCAGTTATATTTCAACCCCATTCTTATTCTTAAAAAATATCAGTTATGGAGGCTGTTGACTACATTCCTTTTCTTTGGAAATTTAGGATTCAACTTTTTTTTCAATATGATATTCACATATAGGTATTGTAGGATGTTGGAGGAGGGATCATTTAGAGGGAGAACTGCAGATTTTGTTGTTATGTTCATATTTGGAGGTGTTTTAATGATTGTATCCTTTTTAATAATGTTTTATTTTACTAAATATGTTGTATATACTTACTTTAATACTTATTGACTGCTATTTAGTACATTGTTATATATAATTAATTTTATTATATGGTAACAGTCATGTTTTTGCTTCAAAATAGTTATATATGGTTTTGTTTTCAAAGGGGGATACCCTATTGAAAATTTAAAAGAAAAATGAATTAAAAATTTGACTTCCCAGTATCTGTTTCTTTGTAATAAAGTCAACATAACATGGGTTTGAAAACTATTATGATTAATTCTTCTATGCCATGCTGTCATATACCATTAGCATAGATTGATACACTATTCCTTTTTCATGAGATAAAAAACTAATATTAGTTCAAAAATGAAACTTTATATAAACATTTCTTATTTCCTAAACAAATGTTACAGTTATGTGCTTTCTTTGTTAATCTATTATTTTTAGGTCAAGCATTTACTATCATGATTGTATATGTATGGTCTAGACGCAATGTATTTGTGCGGATGAACTTTTTTGGACTAATGAACTTCCAGGTAAATATGATACAATTCCTCTTGTATATAGTCTGAAATTAGAGCAGTATAGAAAGTTTAATACAAAAGATTTTATTTTTATGATTGGTATTCATGTAACATTATCTAAAAACAATGAATCTAAAAATTTTTCAAAATTCTCATACTTAATTTATCATATGACTTTATGCAAAACCTAAAAAATCTATAATGTAGTATTTTATTGCTTTCTATGAGAAATCTCTACCTTCCTTGAAAAAGGTTGTTCTGTATAATAAATGAACTTTAACTTTGAAACTCTTTTTATAATTCATTATTCTTTTTTTATACCTATTATATGAGTTTTATACTATTGTTATTACGTTTTAGCAAATAATATTAATAATGGTGTATTTCAGGCACCGTACCTTCCTTGGGTCTTGCTAGGTTTCTCTGTCCTTCTTGGCAATGCAATCTCTGTGGATTTGGTTGGTATGGCTATTGGTCACATATACTTTTTTATGGAAGATGTTATGCCTAGACAAAATGGGGGTCAAAGGTTATTGAAGACACCAAAGTTTCTGTGAGTCTAGCATTTTATTATCTGTTTATTAATTCGGCTTCAAGTCGTAGTGAAAATTGTGATATTCCTCCAAATTTGTAGTAAGATACCAATGGCAATGTGTGATAGAATGACATATGTCCAATCTAAGTCAAAGTCCATCTAATAATAATAGCTAATATATAAATATACCTACTGCATTATGCTATAAAACAAATGTAGTTTAAGTGATACTTTTAAAATAAATTCATGTGTCTTTATAGAATGAACTAGTAACAAGGGATCTGTTTTTTGATCTTTTTTTGCTAAAATTGCATGTAAACTCTGATAGTAGTTTAGTTTTAGGATCACTATTTATAATTTTTAACTTTTGTACAAACAGACAAGCTTATTTTAACATTAAATTCATGATATTGTACTAATATAATAAAATTGTAATTAGGCGATGTCTGTACATGGGATATTAAAAAAAAAGAAAAATTATTATGAATGGTCTTATAACACCTATAGAAACTAAAACAATATTTTTTTAGAGATTATCTGTCTGTCTATATCACGCAAGAACTGCTGCAACAAATTGTATGCAGTTCATCTTGATACGCCATCTAGAATTGTTCTATTTCATTTGTTTTCCTATTTCAGAAATTCATAGGTACATAGTAGCTAGTTAAAGCTAATAAATGTACAAATAGGAAAGCAAGAATATTTTTATTTGAGATTTATTATCTATTTCTATTTCAGAAAAAAGTTGTTTGATCCACCTCAAGAGGAAGAGTATGTTCCTTTACCTGAATTGGCAAACATACGACCAGGAGGCTTTGACTGGCGAGGAGATCGTTAAATATTAAAATGATATATTAAACAAAAACGAACATACAGTGAGACCATGCATTGCCAAAATATGTTATGAAATTTATATTGTTTAAAATTGAAATCAAAGATAGATAAGTGATATTAAGTTTATTTGTATTTAAATATTAATTTAATGTAATCCATATAAACTAAAAGCCAAAACAGTGACATATAATGCAGTTTGGTGAGCATAAAAATATACTAAATAATTATTAAAAATTGTTAATACAGCACCTATAAAATACATTTCTGCAGCCACTTCCATGATGAAATCACCTTTTAAAAAATCTGTTAGATACCACTTACGAAATATTTTCTATATTTTGCTGCACCGCTCAACACAGTTTTTATTGACAGTACTTTTTCACAGAGTTACGACACCGCTCAAATCGTTACACCGTTTTTGTTTGGCAATCTTAACTTACGCCTCGACTGAAACATAGGCCCAGGCATGTTGCCTATGGGAACCTAAATATTATTTTCGGGATTTAATTCAGGGATGACCTTTTTTGTATATATTAGATAAGGCCTTCGCACACGAGGGTCTTAAATAGAGAGTGTATTTTTATCTGTGAATAAATTATGAGTACTGAAAACTTCTAGTTTTATTTATCATTCATATATGTATAAAGTAACCGTTACAATGAAACCAGTACCGGCTTTCCTTTTCTTGGGGGCTGCCCAAAGGCAAAGACAGCGTCGAACTCCAAACGGGGCGTCCATTGACGTATTAGATAAGGATTTGTTCCTAGTCCATTCCAAGATACGAGCAGGCTTTTAGCTATGTGAAACAAAACGTCTGTGACTCTATAGTATTGCACCTTTTTTAAGAGTCTAACCAGACTCCCCTTAAAAATAGTCCTCATTGCGCTAATTGAAGCGCTTTTGGATTAGTAAGATTACATCAAATTCGATCACAGGTAACCTATCTATAGTCAAAAGACGTGCAGTCAAATATTAACCAGTGGCACTAGGAAAGCTAAGACCTGCCCTGTATCAAACTTTAGCCCTCTTCAGAACACGGGTCAAGTAGGTATTTGTCAGAAACACGTAAGCAAATCTGAATTAAGATTAGATTTCCTGCAAATAAAACAATCAGAAAACGATATTTCCACATCTGTTTATTAAATTTAGTTGCAGAAATTGACTAGTAATAATATAGACTCGTAAGTGAACGCTTATTTTAGATTCATTGTTAGATTTTTAGATGGGTAAAATTTTGCGACACTGATATTGTAATATTCACAATTTTCAGTTCTATCATCATTTCTCAATGTCTGCTCGGTTTTCTTTTTATTCTATGCATTGTTATTTCGATAAAAAATATTTTACCAATTAGAACCAAGAAAAAAACTTTCTTAAACCTTACCTACACATAGTATATAGTGTATAGTACCTACACATAGTATATAGTAATAGTTATTAACCAATTAGAACCAAGAAAAACTTTCTTAAACCTTACCTACACATCGTAAGTAGCTGCAATATATTACAAGCTCACCTAGTCGCCTATTTTATGTTTTATAAGAAACGGGAATTAACATGATCATATAAGTAAACTATGATAATTTACCCGAATTATCTTGACGTTTCGACCTTGAGGTTCTTGAGGTTACACTGGCCACGCTTACCATAAATGTTTTATAATACATGCAGCGCGAAAGATTAAAACTTAATACAGTCGCCTATTTTTATCGGCTGCTATATTGAAAAATAAAACTAGTGTGTAATTTAAGAATCAGCTCTGTTTATTTATAATATAGTCACACAAAATTCAAATTTGATCATCCGGAACATTATAGGTAGGTGTTTAATTAAGATTGATACAAATTCAATGCAATAGTATCTACACATCTGGTAGGTATTCAGCTAATGTTTACAAAATTAACGCTAGTAATTAACATTTCCAATTAACCTCATTGCTTATATTCATATTGTTGAAACGTATTTAGATTTAAATTTAACGAAGTCATGTTGAACTTCGAAGTAAATTTATTGACACAGTATGTTAATAAAGTAAAAAAAGAAATGAATTTTTCCATGGACCCGTTAGTTGTTGTACAGAAATAAAGTTCCATAACATTCAATTTACAGTAACAACAAGAATTGTAAAACTATATCAGTCTTCATTCAAACATCAACACATCCAATCTAGATAATGCAGCTGTCGTTACGATTCAGTATATATACTAAAGATAGTATTATTTTATAATATTACTCCTGCTTAATGTACAAAATTAAAATTAAAAACAATAAATTTCAATGAGCTTTTAGCTTTTTATACCTACACAAAATTCAAATTTGGATATTGGCGAATTTTTACAAAGTTTTTATATTAAACCTTTGCGAAATATAAATAAATATATATGTGACGTACATATTTTATAATAATTCGTTTATTATTTACTCTTATTTATGTAGCGATTTATATGTATTGTTCGTAGTAAAATAATTATTAGATTGTAATTTCTAGTATGGTAAATAGTCAAATACTGTCTGCAAGCATTTACGTATTGCGCCGTTGGAATTTGTTAATATTGCAGCACAAATGTAATGATTAGAGAACTATTCATTACCACATAATTAATATAATATCATAAGAATAATCTGGATAAAAGTGACACTCATGTACTTTGTTTTGTAAGTACGCCGATGCCGACAAAATGTGCCCCACTTCCTCTTACTCGAATAGAGTTGTCACAATTAATATTCATTTAAAACATTTCTTGTCATATATAAATAATAAAAATAAATTCGTTATTAGATTAAAAGGCGGAAAGATAAGTGACAACCTAGTGTAGACAAAAATTGAGTAGGGCGACACCTCTAATTATAAAGGTAAAAAAAACGATACATGCAATATAACAACTTATACACGACATGGATAAATTTATGTAACATGTAGTACAAACCTTAATACATGGTATATCCTCTGTAAAATAAAACTACATTCGGAATCTTTTTAAATTATTTTTGAACTCGACGTTAACAAATTAGTTGAAAACGGTACCGATATCGAAAAAATGGAAAAAGATACCCAGACATTTAAGAGTTCCAATAGAATTCCTATCGTCAATATACTATGGTACTTTTATTTCTGGTTTGGAACCATCAATACACTAAAATTATTATTAATAATCAAATTATTAAAAAGTATATACTCTATAGTAAAATAAATAGTCAAATATGTCAAATAAATAGTAACTAAAGATATATTATTACTATAAAATATAATCAATTTTGTGGAATCGTGTACATTCTGGCGGGAGTGTCACTTCTAGCTAGTCCTTGTTCTTATGGGAATATTGTGGTATCGTTGATATAGGCGGAGAACTAAATAACTCAATTTGGGTTTCGAGACGATCGCGATTTACAATTTTTCCTTCATCTGTTTGTCGTAATTAATAATTGGAAGACAATTTTACTGAAAAATATTTTTATAAATATCGATCATAAAAATGTCATAATAATGACAAAAAACGTAAAATTTATTTATTTATCTCTCCACTTATCGCGACGATATTTATTGCTGTCTTTAAACTGTATCAGGTAACTAGACTGCATATGCGCAATGTAATGTCTATTTTGCTTCAATATAATCCTTCTATTTGAAAGGATTAGGTACATGTTAATGCTCTGGCAGTACACATCATATCAACAATAAGTTTGAATATATAATAACCAAAAAAAGATGCTTGTAATTAATATAATAGTAAAGTGGAGACAATGTCTCTATGATAATTTGTAACATACATAACTGTACAAATTTTGGACTGGCAATGAAAACAAGTAAACGCAACTTGTCAGTCCAATCTTATCTAGAGATCACATTTTAATCCACAAAAATAATTAAATCACAATATCATACATACAGTATTAAATTAATCATTTGCATAGATAATTGCAATACACAGCTCGATATCACTCTTAAGTGACTAGTGCAATACGCTGTTTCATACAAAATCACAATGTTTGTTTACCATCAGAATCAGATCATGTTCTCACAAATGCTAAATACAATTATTGTTACCTAATCGTAATTTCAAGATAAAAATTATCTATTTAAAAACATGTCCTGAAAAAGTAATAAAATATAAAAAAAACATGACCCAGTTTGCAAGTTTTTGGTGTCGTAGTTTATCACTAATTCTACTATTTTTTACGTGTGTTTAGAAAATAACACACGCATAAAATCTATCTAAATCATGTGAAGACATCTTCATAGTGCTACAATAGCTAGTAGCACCGTTATGTCGTCTGGTTTCCCTCCTGAAAAAAGATAAAACACAATGAATATTACATAAATTGGTGAGCACCTTCTACACAATACAATATCATTATTGTGTAAAAAAAACTTAGCAAGTTTTAATGTCATAGATAATATACGCTATAAAAAAAACCAGTCACAAACATTTGATCATGGAAACGAGAATAATTTATCTAAATGCAATAAAATAGTCGTAAATCAGTAAATAAAACAATCCTTAACTATTAACATTGTTTTTCCACAATTAATTAACTACAAAATCAACATTTTTTTTTTTACAAAAAATACTACTTATCATGACCCCAAATATTAATATTATATTTTTTATAAGATACACGTTTTATGAAAATAAACCAGATATATGTGAAGTACCTATTTTTGTGTAATAAACATATATCAATTCCCAAAATTCGGTCATTATACCCACTAGTTTCATTCATTTAATAATACATTTTTCATTGAGCATTAGAAGTTTCACTGACTTACAAGATCAAACATAAATGGATTTTTGCAGAATAAGTAGATTGGTCTTGCATTCGATGGTACAGTTGGCTTTGCACAGAATATGTTTATTCTGTTTTTATAAAACACTCACAAGTTTTCAATTTAAGAACCTTATTTTAAGAGATTGTAATTATATCCCTACACTACGAGTTTATAAGTATTATGATAATTCTGGAGATTTTGTGGTAATCATTTCCCGAGAAAAGTATTGTAAATAAATTAAATTGAATAGGGGTGTTATGTTGTGTACATGCTAGATTGTATTCAACTTTAACCAATAGATTCTGCGTAGTGGCATGCATAAATAAATAGACATTTCCTTTATAGAATACATTCAATAAACAAATTATCGCACAAAACAAATGATATTTCAAGAAGCTTACCAATTGCATCTATGCCGTTTTGGCGCGCACTTTTAGCAAATGGCGACATATAGCAGCCATCAAAGGAGAGGTTGCGGGCCATCCACGCTATGGAATTGGCTACAGCTTGCAAACGTTGCGAATCGCCGGCGACGCCCTGCGCACGACGCATCTCTGCCAGTAGCACGGGCTCGGGAACGTTGTCGAACACGCCGTCCGTCGCTACTAGTATTACGTCGCCACATTCCACAGGGAATTCGGATGTCTCTGCCGACTCGGGCCTAAGGGAAACATTTGCTATAATAATTCAATCTTGATCACTATAAGCACCCTTTCCATTATTTTAATTTTATATATTTATAAAAAAATTCGTGCTGTTTCTATTAATTGAACCGAACCCTGTTTCAATTGACAGTATGGGATTTATATCCTATATTTGAAAATTCTTTCCACTATTCGATTAATCGATCTATGTGACCAAATCATGTGGTCGGAAATATTTAGCAAGGAATGCAAATAATGCAGTAAAGAACAAAATATAATCATTCTATAAATGTATTCACGTAAAGAAAATTGCATGGTATTTAAGGTAATTTCAGTCGTTGCTATCATTCGTATTTCCTTTGAATGGTACCGAGTACCAGCGTCCCTCTTAAAAAAATCACCAAATCCTAACTGCGTTGCCACCCCCCTCCCCCTTATGGGGTAGGGGTAACGACTGATACATTCTCCTAACATACAAAAATTTTGTCTCCATGTTCGTGCACGCTAATCTCTGAAAGCTCACAACCAATTTAACTAAATTAACACGATAGTTTTTATCCCGATAGATTCTGTGTAAATGAATCCGGTAGATGGCCGTAGGAGGGCAAACAACGTTTGCTGGATCAGCTAATACATTTATTTGGGGGAAAGGAATTGTTACTAATGAAGTTTAACTGCCCCATTGCTAACAATATACCCTATCGGGTCGACCTCCACGCGGTTCCCTTTAGACACCATTGTGATTAATTCTTGTGGAATTCATCACGATGGACTAACTGACCTGTTTTCATCCTCACCTATCATTTTTCGCTGGTGCCCAGTCAGCGTATACCGATAGCGCAGGCGGAGTTACCATTTCATTTTCACTCATTACAAAAATACAATTATTTGACACCAGGATTACCAGACAGCGTTAGATTAGCACTTGAAATATTGTTGATAGTCTAGTCTCTCGAGTATCTTACATATACACAGGGTATCCTATTTCGAGTTTCAGACAATTACTAGGATTATCTGTTATTTATGTTTATATTTTATAACTAGAAAATCTTTGGCGTTTTCCCATTATTCTGAAAACATAATAATAAAATGAAACCATTAAAGCACGTGATATCTGGCACCAATCCAATGAGCTAAAAATTCTAATATTAGTACATGCAGAAATACAACAGTTGTGATTGTGGAATGAGCACATGACTACTGATCTCGAGGCAGCATATTGGTCTTGTGATTGTGGACAACATTATGTATACAATTAGAGGCGTCATACGTCAAAGCTATAAAAATACCATCGCTATATTAAGTAATATGTGTAATTACTTTCTATTACTTAATTGCACACATACAAATGTATATTAAAAAAAATATTATTATATAACCAATTATCAATTATTTTTAATATAAATACGTACAAATTGAATTTAATAGTTCACGCAACGAAATAATTTGCTTACCACATTATCACTTATCGTATCGTAATCTTAATTCGTTGCTAAAAGATTACGTATCGTAATCGTGTGTTAAATTTATTTCATTATCATATTAATTATGTCATATCCATGTGATAAACATCTTTCAGCGATTGACGAGATTAGAATGACCAAAATATAAATAGACAAAATATAGGTGTTTATTTACGCACTAGACGGCAAGCGTTTCCTTCTTTGGATACTATGAATACGATATAATACTATTCATAGATTAAATACTTGAATAATACAGTTATAGATAGTATTAGACTTTGACCGCAATTATCTCTGATTAATACAATTAATATATCATGCCTACATTTTTACTGTAAATATTTCCAAAAGTTTTCCTTTGTTGTACCTTTTTAATATTGATATTTGTTAGTGTTAGTTTTTTAACTATGACTCAAATGTATAAATTATAATATCTGATTTGAGATACAAAGACATTTATTATTTTAATTCTTATTTAATAACTTACATATCTATTCGTGTTTCTTATAAAAAAAATCCTGTTCGATATATCATACGGACAACTCTTAACATGTACATACATTTTTGAATAAGCTAAAGGATAGTTCTTGTTGGACGTTTATGTCGAAAGTCTATCCAATCCCCATATTACATAAAACCATTATTTTATATACCAACTGATTTTACCAGCGAAAATTTTTAATGACGCAGTTACAATCAACTTTTATCGAAATCGGCCTCTGGACTCTGTTATTAAATTTATACATACATTGGAAAATTCTACCTCTATACATACTCTATACATCTTATATATCTATGGATAAATATGACAATTATAATATGGGCAATATTTATAGACTGAAAAAAATCCTTTTAAAGAAAACAAAAACCCATTTCTAAATTCATTATTTATGTACGGAACAGTTGGTGTGTGAATTCAGCTCACATTTGACCGATTTTTATTTATAGTTTGCATTCACATCGTCCATTATTGTTAGATACAAACTATTTTCAATTATCACGTGAGTGGTGACTGCCTTTGTACACCTTACACTGTTTAATAATATTAAGTAGTTGATAATAAAAAACCAGTTGTTTTGGCATTGCTCCAAAATAAAAATATGTTATTTATTTCGCGCTCTTTAAAGTAAACAAACAAGTATTTCTCGATCCCTATTTTATCAGTAGATGTCACGACTTCAAATGATAACTACCTCGATACCTATATAATGATAAGTAAATATAATTAAAAGAATTTTATACAGGCGATGCGGTAGTATAGTACGACCAGTCAGGGTGCACCGTATTATCTGGTATGACGCAGCTATGCGGGCGTGTCCCGGTCAGAAATATGGGATAGCTAGTACAGCTCTGATGCAAGAGGAGTTTTTATGCAACTTAGAATGGTAAACAAGCTGACGGCCCACCTGATGGAAAGTATAAACCGTCGCCTACAGACATGAAGAGTACCATGGACATAACAGAATATACATATATACTGTTTCGATACATGATACCCTCCTTGCCATTTCCGAGGCCTAAAATGTTATACTACCTTTGTACCCTGTAAATTCACTGCCATATTCCACCCTTCATATAAGAATAAGGTCATAAGGGGAATTGTGACATTCATAGTGTTATGTTTTTTAACGACGATTACAACTGTTAAAGTTGTTTCTCCTTCAGGGAGCCTTCTAGCGTGTTTGGCATTAATAAAAATAAATATATAATGAGAATAGATATCACTGAATTTACATATAACGCACATATCTATTTCTACATGGCATAGATAAACATTTCAAACCTTGAGTATAAAATTCACATTATTATCTTCATATTGAAATAACCTTTAACTTTTAAGTTTCTACCATCTTTGGTACTTATTAGTACCTAATACTTATTTATTATATTATCCGATATGCATGTTTGTATGTATAGCTAATCATAATCAGTATATAAATATAATATCATTAGTAATCCACTGATTATATTTTATTTCAATCATAGTTATTGGTAGCAACATGTATACAGGGTGAAATCGGAATCATTATTATTTATTCTGGGAAAATTCTATAGGAAAATGAGTCGATAAAAAAATAGAGTTTCCCATACTAAAACGGCGCGTCCAGCCGTTAATTAAGTATGGGATGATCAAAACCTTTTGTTGCTTCTAAATGCTTGATATACAAACTTTCGGTCCTAATATATAGCATATGAAAAACCATCGTTTTACATACTGCTACCGATTTCTCTTCTATACCCTATATCACTGCGTATTCAGGGCTGGATTAACAATGTTGGGGCCGCTAGACAATGCTGGACTCGCTCTAATATAATGTAATAAAAAAAACCTACTATAATATTATTCTACATAATATACTGAAATATGACGATAAATTATAACAAAGGCAATAATATTTTCATTGATAATTTGTTCAGTACAAATCTTCAAATGTAAATTTCTCTTAAAGAAACAGTTTACCTGAACTACATGTTAATGTACCTACATATTACATGTTTAATTTGTAAAATGTTATGGGTTATTATAAACTTTCTCAAAAAAAAAAAATTGTAGGATCACGAGGCTCCTAGACTACAGGGAGTCCTACAGGCAGTTGGCTACACTGCCTAATGGTTAATCCGATCCTACCGAATGGACTAGATTCCAATTTAAAGATGCGAAAATATTACTAATAATATCTTCCAATGTTCTTGTCAATCGTCTATATTACTGTGACATGAATTACATGTTGGAAGTTTGCGTTTGTTTTGTCGGAGTCCAATTAGGTAGTCGATTTCTAGGTATCTAAGAAAAAATGGGGGCGCAAATCAGGAGCAGTTATTCACTCAAGTATTTAAATGTGTGATTGTGTGTATTACCTACATACATATCATCACTGTATGATTACTTACACCTAGTCAGTTTACACGTGACTTCGTCCTTGTAAAATATTTCTTCTTGTCAAACACCAGGCATTTGGCGTATATAATTTGGACAAGATATCATTTTATTAAGATGCCCTGTTTTATAAACATCCGACAAAGAGTATGTGGAAACAATTTAAAACATATACCAAAATATATACAAAAAAAAACATATAAAACAACTACAAAAAAAAATATACAACATATAAAAAAATCTTAATTGGGCCGACTATATATACAGACGCAAAACTTGATAACAACACAAATGACACTTTGTATGTCGCCGAAGGACAATTTAGTTAACTTTTCTGAAACGATTCTATTTGAATACATAAAAATTCTAGTCTCTGCGATTAAAGTGACTTTGTAGATCGCATTAAAAATGAAGTGATTTTCATTTCAATGGTATTTTTTGTAAGCTAAGAAATGCGAATTCAGACCAATCCCTTGTCGCAATTAAAACCATATTCTTACAAACAATAATATGACTGCACTGCGAGCACAGGCATTTCTGACATTTTTAATGTTCAGCGTACAATGCAGAACAATGCAACATCCCAGCAATCACCGAAATTCAATGTTGTTGAAACCCAATGCAACATCCATACTGCTCAAGATTACTTATCACTAAAGCTAAACAAGTGTAAAGTAGTAAAAAATATGTAATATAGTCCAATCAACATTACATTAAAGAGGTAAAATAAGTAAGTTATACCTGTCACTTAGCACATTCCTATCGTGACCCGGGGGTGGCAGACTGAGTTGATAGGGTGTGTTGAAATAGTGTTGCTGCTCATGGGAACGGTGTACGACGCGTCCGCCTCGCACTACCATGTACCCGCTGTCACCTATGTTGGCCGCACGCATAACGCTCTCACTGCGATCCAGGATCATCACGCAGGCTGTGCTACTACCTGAAACAGTAAACATCCAGTGCTGTTTGATATAATATTATATGAAACATACTAATGCTCTTATGATCATAAATTTAAATTATAAAAATACTATAATTTTAATGGTAATATATAATACATAAAAAATATCGATACCTAATATAGGTTTCTTATGTTCCAATAATTCGTAGTACGACTTAGCTAGCAGATCGCTGGGTTCTGATGATTTAAAATGGCCCATTTGGACTAGCCGTTCGCAGGTTTTCATGAGATACGAGGAGAATTCGCCCGGATCGATGCCATACGCACGCCAGCCTCCCACGCCATCTGCGACCCCTATGAAAGAAAAGGAAAAATAAATCATCATCATCAATTTAGAATTTAGCTACCGTATCGTATCGTACCGTATCACTCTCTGGATCGATTCTAAAATTGCATTTCTAATTCATTAGATTAGCAAAACTATTATAGGTGAACAATCAAGAATTAAATGTAAAGTAGTTTCGACGCATTTCACTTAAAAATATAGTTTAAACTGATTCTTAGAATAATCATTTCCTTATAATTTATCTATTTATTTAATAAATAACTTCATCCACCAAAATAAGATACAAAAGGCACACTTAATGCTAGTAGTATTCTCTACCAGTTAACATTTGGGATGAACAGTCAATAGAATATGCATATTCCTTTATATTTATTAATGTATTATTTATTTTGTATAGGTATATATTATTAGTTGTTATTTTCTTTACCTAACCCAATAATGAAGTACCGCATTCGTGATTCACTGTATAAATAAAATATAAAAGATAATGATTAGCTACTATTGCTGTAATGAGTTCCTAAAGTGAGCATGGACTCTTTTTTTAACATGAATCTATTTGGAAGATCTCGGAAACCTTCATGCATTTCAAAGTCGTGAAGTTTGGATGGTGAAAGAGTCTGACATAAAAACAGATTTGTAAAGCAGTGTGAAAAGAGAATATAGGTATGTATATATAGGTATGCAATTAAAATTTTAATTTTTGAGATAGATAATGGTGCTTTAAAAATGACTCTAAAACTCGAATTCTTATGATTTCTACTTCTTGACAGCTATAGAAATCTTTTGACACTCCATGGAGTAAGTGTCTCACTTCTTTGAGATTGATTTTTGTTTTACTATTTAACTTCCGATTTCGTAACGTTTGAATTGTAATATATCAGTTGTACTAAATAGTTCTTTTTAAAATAAACAAAAAAGCATATAAACACTGCTAATAAATTTTTCCAACCGATTTTTATATATTTTAATATAGTTCAATTCATTCAATGATTTCAAAGCGTAACAGGAAGAGTTTTACTACTTTCGAGATCAATTCGTGATCCTTAGTCATGAGCGACTGTGATGTGAGCGCGATCCTGACTGCGAGCCTCAGTGGGCCGAAAGCCGGATCGCGTAAGTTAATCAGATAGTTATTACATTAAAATCATTCAACTTATTTCAGTGAAATTTTGTGAATGTATATAGGTGTATGGTTTGTAGACAGGATAATTTTAGACCTGACAATTAGCACTGAATATATAAAAATCACATATCACTATGCACCCGCGCAAAGTAGGGGCGGGTCACTAATCAATTAAATGAGAAGTTACTATGACCACAATGAATCATTGCTAACCATTACATTTATAAGTAAGATGACCAATAAACAGAGTGCACATTTATTATAATGTAATTGGGCGTACCTATTGCTGCTGGATGGAGAAAGCCAATATGTAATTTTATGTTCACTGTATCACTTTAAACAACTGACTTTGTTGTAGACAGAACAGCTACAAATAGAAGGGATTGTTTGTAATATGGACTACCAGTCCCATTACTAGCAATATACCTTGGCAAGTTGACCTCCATGTATACCGTTAACACAGGTGGGGTTACCATTTAATTATCATCCTTTAAGAAAAGACCTGTTTCATCTGTACCTATTATTATTCACTGGTGCCCTGACAGTATATACTAATAGTGCAGGTGGAATTACCAATGCATTATCATCCATTAAAAAAATACAATAACACAAAGGTAGTTTGTTTCGATAGAGCTCTATAATAAAGTATTCAAATTTTGTTAAAATTATTACAGAATGACTAATTAATAACTACTACTGGACCTCAGAACATCTTATGTTTAGATCAACTATTTGTTTATTTAAATTTTCAATAAGTTTTATAGGATGAATTCATCCCTTCCGACCTATCTAATTGATGTATACATTAAATTAGCAAATTATTTTACTATTTGGAATTTCTGAAGTCATATTATGTGTCACTATTATGTAATCCAAGCACAAGAGACACCAATGGAATATTACTAAGAACTAAGAAAATAATTTTAATTATATAATATAATATAATTTTTAAGGACTTCAAAGTTTCTTAATTTGTATAGCAAAGCAAAATTGTAAATTATTAAAAATAGATTTAAAACCAAAGATTATTTATAACAAGTACATCTATTTTCTTCAAACAGAATGTGTTTTAAAGATTAAAAATCTACATCTCTGTTTGTCCAGTGGTAGCCTCTTCCCTCTCATTATCATGTTATATTACGATTCAGGTAAGTTATCCAATAGGTAGAAATTTAATATTCATATATATAGTTGGGAAAAGATACTACTTAGTATTATTATAAATATAATAAATAATGATAGAAATAAAGTTATACTTAGTTATCAAAGTAAAATTCAATTTATTATTACTTGCTAATGAAGCTTCGAAATTATAGTCTTTTCCAATAGAACTAATGAAAAGGTAATTATGTTAAAATTATTCCAGAAATAATATTTAAATGAAATTAAAAACAAATCAAAACATTCAATTAATTATCTATTTTTTTTAATGATATTGTTATTAAACATTAGCAGACTGCATTAGTTTTTGTTTTTTAAATAGATGATAGTGGAATGGTAACCCTACCTGCATGGATGGGATGATAGATAACAATGAAAAGGAAACCTCACATTCTTACATATCATCCCATCATGATAAATGCATCTGGAATTCAGTACCACATGGAGATTGACCTGACTTGACCTGACGTTACACTACTAATAATGCGACTGCATATTTCTCATTACAAACATCCCCTTCCCCCAACTGTCTTAGGATTAAATCAATCATTCCTTTATAGTTTTATTATATTTTACTGAAACAGACTATACTGACATAATTCTGTACATATTGGCAAAGTGTAAACCTAAATTTAAAAAAAGGTCATCTTGATCATTAATTGATAAAGTGAAATTGATAAAGGAGACTCCTTATTACTTTCTTTAAGTAGCATATAACTGAAATATTTAAATTCTATTCAATAAGAAAAAATCAACTAGTAGTATTATAATTGTTTTCTCACTTTTTACAATTACAGTTTAATAAGATATTAAATCCAGACAAAAATTAAATCAACACCGATTTACCCACATGAAGAACTGGTATAATTTTCTTATATATAATAAAACTAAAATATTATATTACAATAAAACAAAGCTAGAATCACAAATAAATATTTAAATTTCCATACAGAAACTGTATGTGTAATGAAAATTAAAAAACAAGGTGCGAATGGATATTATTATTTATTGCAAATATTAAATTCTGTGTAGGAGTAATATAAAAATTAATTGTATGAATGCTTTGGCATTTGAAATTTTGAGTATAATTTGATAGAATAAAGTCATGCTATTTTCAATGTAATTTTTAGTTTTACTCTTTGAGTTTATTGGATAACAATCACCAGATTTGATGTGATTGATAAAGCTTAATGAATGTTTAAATATATATTTAAGATAAGTACCTACTACGTCAATATCACATAATAGCAATACTATCAAATATGTAGGAATTATAAAAAAAAACATTACAAATTATTCAATAATAAAAACTGTTTACTCACCAATAACATCCGCATTGTTACAATTGGTAGAAAACCATGCGTCGTCTCCAAATTGACCTTTACGAGTTCTTCCATTACTAATGTCTTTAGGGAAACCACATACCACTGACACTAAGTATGGATGTTTTTTATTCGTAACATTTAATTCTGTAGCACTAGAGAAATTGGAAAGACCATTTCTAATAGCACGTGATAGCACTCTGCCTGTCCAGAATATAGACTGCATCATTCATTTAATTGTTCTGTACTTTGATACCAGCCATTCAAAATCGGAGAATCAACATAATTGACACCATTTTTACAGAAATAAACATACTACACAATAATAATTATAAATTACACTAAATATAAATCTCAATATTAAGAATATTTTATCAATGAAAAAGCATTTTCAATTTCGCATTGGTTTTGTGACTGGAGGATGTAGGAATTGCAACCACAGATAAGAGAAACTAAAGACGTATAAACCATCACTGAGCAAAGCAGGACTGCCAACCGAAAATTACAATCGAATTAAAAAAAAAAAGATGACAGTGACAAATTAGAAGTAGTCAAGTTTTTGAGAATTAAAATACAGAGGGCGCTTTGTACTATGATCCCTTGTACTTTATTATTCCTTTCATTTATTAGTCTTTTAAAGTTTATATTTCTTGCTCTCTTAAAAAGTACCTATTAAAAGTTAGTTAAAACATAAAATATCAATTCATATACAAATTATTTGTTATAGTTCTAAATATTATAATTAAATAAATGAAATCTTTCAAGCATACTTACACATATAACATGTAATTGTGTTTTCTCTGTTATTTATATTACATTCAGTTGTAGTATACTTATTCTAACCAACTATATTCACTTAAAATTGCTTTCACTTCAAAATTTAAAAATGATGTTTTTGAAGTGTTGAATTGTTTTTACTTTTACCAAATCACCATCATTAATTTGTACAATATATGCTATTGTGGAATTAATGTCCATTGCCTATCTCGTTCTAACATGCAAATTATTATATTTTCTCTCTTTATATTACTAATACAATACGATATAACAAACCCGATTTAGAGGTGTATTTCTCTAGACACGTGTTTAAAATTTTAATTTGATATAATAGCAAAATCTTTACTCTAAAGATCAATATGAATTAAACTTCTTATAGATTTAAGTTTAAATTATTATAAATTTAATTTATACTACTAAATTGAAATATTAAGTTAAAAAATATATTTAAACAAATGGTAACTCAGAATTAAGCTGAATAGTTCATAATCTAAGTCGCAACCATTCCGTTACGTTCATTACAAAAAAAAAGGAAAATGTACCTTTTTTTTAGAATGACAACTCTCTGTTGAAATTTATCAAATGTCAAAGTGACACAATTTCACAAATATTGATCCATAAACAAAGATTAAAACTAATACCTACCTACAATCTGACGTTCAATTCAATCTATGGTATGGAAGGCGTTGTAGACGAAAGCTCATCTTCATCTATCGAATTCATTTCAATGACGGTCTTTGATTGATTTATTAAAGATCGGAGACGTTATACTATTAAATAAAATATTAGATTAGTGTTGGTGACCAAAAGTTGCAGTTTTTTTAGAAAAGTGTGATTAAAAGGCTTAAAACTGGTGTTCGATAAGTCACTTGGCAATATGCCTGCCGTGAGGGGCGATGGAATGCGAGGACTCGCAGTATTCATATCTGATATAAGAAACTGCAAAAGTAAAGAAGCTGAAATAAAGAGAATCAATAAAGAGTTGGCGAACATAAGAAGCAAGTTCAAGGGAGATAAGACTCTTGATGGTTACCAAAAGAAGAAATACGTCTGTAAACTTCTATTTATCTTCTTACTAGGACATGACATTGATTTTGGACACATGGAAGCAGTGAATTTACTGTCTTCCAATAAATATTCTGAAAAACAGATAGGTTATCTTTTTATATCAGTATTGGTCAACACTAATAGTGATCTGATTAAGCTCATTATTCAGAGCATTAAGAATGATTTACAGTCCCGAAACCCTATTCACGTTAACCTCGCTTTGCAATGTATTGCTAACATTGGTAGTAAAGATATGGCAGAAGCCTTTGGAACTGAGATACCTAAACTTTTGGTATCAGGTGACACTATGGATGTAGTTAAACAATCTGCTGCACTATGTCTACTTCGTCTGTTTCGTAAATCACCTGAAATTATTCCTGGTGGTGAATGGACTTCACGTATAATACACCTTTTGAATGACCCACATATGGGTGTGGTGACTGCCGCCACATCTCTTATAGATGCACTCGTTAAAAAGAATCCAGAAGAATATAAGGGATGTGTAACATTGGCTGTAGCCAGGCTAAGCCGAATTGTAACTGCCAGCTATACAGATTTACAGGATTACACATATTACTTTGTACCAGCTCCTTGGTTATCTGTTAAATTATTGAGATTACTACAGAACTACACTCCTCCATCTGAAGAGCCTGGTGTACGAGGACGACTTTCGGAATGCTTGGAAACAATTTTTAACAAAGCTCAAGAACCACCTAAATCAAAAAAAGTCCAACATTCAAATGCTAAAAATGCAGTATTATTTGAAGCTATAAGTCTCATAATTCACAATGATAGTGAACCAAATTTGTTAGTTCGTGCCTGTAATCAACTTGGACAATTCCTCAGTAACCGGGAGACTAATCTTAGATATTTAGCCCTTGAATCTATGTGCCATCTTGCAACTTCTGAATTTTCACATGAAGCTGTCAAGAAACACCAAGAAGTTGTTATTCTCTCTATGAAAATGGAAAAAGATGTGTCAGTCCGACAGCAAGCTGTGGATTTACTTTATGCAATGTGTGATAAAACAAATGCTGAAGAAATTGTTCAGGAAATGTTGGCCTATTTGGAAACTGCAGATTATTCTATCAGGGAAGAAATGGTGTTGAAAGTTGCCATTTTAGCAGAGAAGTATGCTACTGATTTCACTTGGTATGTTGATGTTATTCTCAATTTGATAAGAATTGCTGGTGACTATGTATCAGAAGAAGTTTGGTATAGAGTCATACAAATTGTTATAAACAGAGAGGAAGTTCAAGGATATGCTGCAAAAACAGTTTTTGAAGCTTTACAAGCACCTACATGCCATGAAAACATGGTGAAAGTGGGTGGTTATATACTTGGAGAATTTGGTAATTTGATTGCAGGAGATACTCGATCCTCACCTCAAGTCCAGTTTGAGTTACTTCATTCCAAATATCACTTATGTTCTGCTGCAACAAGAGCACTTTTGTTGTCAACCTATATAAAACTTGTAAATCTCTTCCCAGAAATAAAAAATCGTGTACAAGAAGTTTTTCGAGCTGATTCCAATATTAGATCAGCTGATGTAGAATTACAACAGAGGGCATCAGAATATTTGCAATTAAGTATAGTGGCTAGTTCTGATGTTCTAGCAACAGTCCTTGAAGAAATGCCTGCTTTTCCAGAAAGAGAATCATCAATTCTTGCTGTATTAAAGAAGAAAAAGCCCGGACGTATACCTGATGATGTAAGAGAGTCAAAAAGCCCGCAACCATCTGGTGTTCCAACTGCTGTTATCAATTCCACAAATAATACCAATAGCTCCAGTGCTGATCTGCTCGGCCTGTCCACACCACCTGGGACTACTGCTCCCACCACTGGTAATGGTTTGCTTGATGTGTTTGGAGATTTATACAATGCTCCCAAAATAAGTCCAAGCACAGTGCAGCAAAATAACATAAAAAAATTCTTGTTCAAAAATAATGGAGTTCTCTTTGAAAATGATTTAATTCAAATAGGAGTCAAAAGTGAGTTTAGACAAAACTTGGGTAGAATTGGCTTGTTCTATGGAAATAAGACACAGTTTGCAATTCAAAATGTCCGCCCAGAATTACATTGGACTGATTCACACAAACTTAATGTACAAATGAAGCCTATGGAACCAGTACTGGAAGCAGGTGCTCAAATTCAGCAAATGTTAACTGCAGAATGCATTGAAGATTTTTCAGATACACCGAGCATGTCCATTTCTTTCATGTTCAATAATGTACCTCAAAAGATTACTATGAAACTTCCACTTACATTAAACAAATTTTTTGAACCCACAGAAATGAATGGTGAGTCTTTCTTTGCACGGTGGAAAAATTTAGGTGGAGAACAGCAAAGAGCCCAAAAGATATTCAAAGCTCAAGGTGTAATTGATTTAACTGCTGCCCGTACTAAACTAGCTGGCTTTGGTATGCAGCTTTTGGATGGAATTGATCCAAACCCTGATAATTTTGTGTGTGCGGGTATTGTACATACTAGAGTTCAGCAAGTGGGATGTCTCATGAGATTGGAACCAAATAAACAAGCTCAAATGTTTAGACTAACAGTAAGGTCTAGTAAAGAAACAGTCTCACAAGAAATTTGTAATCTGTTAGCTGATCAGTTCTGAATTAAATTGGAAAGGACCATGTATATGAGCAACTTGTTAAACAATGAAATTGATGTTATAATTAATTATATTATTTGCCTAGAGATTCACATTTGTAAAGTTGCCAAGTGCAGTTTCAATGTAACAATGCAATACACCTGTAAATATTGCATTGATACTCAGTATGACATATGAAATGTCTGGTGTGCAATTTTCTATTTCTTTTATTGTTGTTACTTTTGTTAATAATGTTTGTATACATCTGTTTCATATAATGAAGTTAAAAAATAATTTCCTAAGACAGCTAGCTAAAACTATATACCTTGTAACTGAGGCTGTTGATATTCATCAAATATGTAAATCTTTTTCTCTCTTTTTACTGATAACTACTTGCATACTTACGTGATTTTAATATTCAACTTTGTAATGTTACTTTGAATATTGCTGCTATATCCAAAACAAGGTAGTATGTCAGTGTCTTATTTTTGTTAATATATAAATGTGTAACATAAAATATGGTACATAGATACCAAAAATATTTTATTTGTATATAGGTTTTTGATTACTATACTCGATCTTGATTACATAAGATTGAACTTTTCAAATAACCATTTCAATGATATTTTATACTTTTTAATTTTTTATTGTTTACATTATTTATTGGATAAACCTAAATATACCAAAAATAAGTATAGTATTTGGCTATTGTACACATAAAAATTTATATTGGCCTAAATTGCATTCTTCATACACATATAATAGTTATACTTATTTTTATTTTATTTTTACATGTCTTTGGAAAGTAGCATTAAAATACACCAAATTTGTCATTCAGAATAGTAATAAAAATCTACTTTAAGAACATTGTATATGATGTTATTTCATTAGGCTTATATAGTCTGTTAATCAAATATGAATATGAAATGTATCTACAAAACATACATTGTATTCTTGCACATATATGGTATTGCTTTTACAGATGTGTGTAATTTTTACTTGGTTAATTTTTAAGATGTTTATTTTAAAATAATTTAAAAATAAGTAGAGCGCAGAGTTCTCATCTAAATTTGTAATAGGTACTAACTATAACAATATTGAATTGTTATAGAGATCCTTATATAGCTGCTAGTATTATTGTGTGGCTATATTTATTTATCTGACATTCCTAACAAGTCTCAAATTTAGTTTTTCAATTGTGATAATTCTGTAGATGTCACGATTTATATACACTACTCAGATCTCAGTGATATTACATGCTAATAACTCAATATGTAGGATCTACCCATTTTCATGTAGTTTACACCGCCAATGTCGAGTCTTATCATGAATGGGTGTACAACGGTAGATGTTTACTTTTTTATAAGTGCACTACAATCATCTTGAGCTATTTGTTTATACGTAATAGAAATATTTTTTATAGATGTTGCATTAGCATTGTCTGGTATTTATAAATATGTAGTAAAAACTTTGATTCCGTTACTTCAACACTTATAAATGTTACTGAGTTTATTATAGGAATCTCACTACACAAAATGTTTTTTATGTTCCATGAAATTATAGATGTAGAGTTAGACAAATTAGTATTATGAAAATAAAATGTTGTTATGAAATCTGTAGCATGCTGAGACTTTCTTTGCATGATTTAGATTTGTATAAGAGATGAGTAATAATTATAAAGTAATATATATCATTTCAAACATTTATTCATTCTACCTGTTAAGATATGTGGTATAATAACCTTTATATGTATATTATGAATATGAATTTAATGAAGTAATGCTTGTCTGGTATATTACGTACGCATTGCATATTGTGGGGTTATCAATATGTACAATATCGCATGTGAAATTCGAGTGTATGAAACATAGAGATAGAAGTTTGTTCTCGCGCTTCTAAATCATATTGTAATTGTCTGAAATACATATTTATCCAATACATATTTAAGTTTTTTATTTAAGATCATACACTTAGTACTACTAAGTTTAAGATGCCTTTTTATAGGTCTTGAGAAAAATGTAACAGTTTTACATATAATATCTAGGTACCCGTCACTGCTAATAATAAAAACATTTTGTGTTGCTTATATATGTTGGTGCCATTGCAGTAACTGCTGAATGATCTTGGCGTAATATAATTTGGGTGAGGGATGTTCGACTTGTTACCTATTTCTATATACATATCGAGCATCATACCATATTTGCAAATAGCGGGGGCCGAAGTTGTTATACTCCATGGAATTTGTTAACGATGCTCCTAAATCCATCCGATGAAATACCTTAATATTTTTATATAACAACGGTGATAATCAAGTATACGATCCGCCTGATGATAGGTGGCCATTTCAATCTATATACAAACTGGTTGTTGGTAGAATTAGCAAATAAGACAAAGGTGTTTACGCCGACCATTGAAGACTAGGGGGAAAAGATTGGGATAGGACAGATTAGTCCTTATCGCTATCAATATACCATATCAGGTCGACCTCCACGGGGTTCCCCCTGGAAACTATCAAGACTAATTTATCGTTCCATTAATCACGATGGGCTAATTGGCACCTGCCTTTCGTCCTCATCAATCATCTCTCACTGGTCCATCGCCAGCGTATACCGTTACCGCAAGCGGGATTTGCATTTTATTTTCACCCATTAAAAAAAAGACTATTGCAAACTGAATATTTTTTTAAAAATATTTATAAATGTATTTAAAATTGTAAATAACAAAAAATGTACTTACTTGATTTTTGTTACGTTCTGATGTTTTAGCCCTCCTTAGTTTACGTAGCGCGCCAAGGCAGGTTTTTAATAGTGCCCCTTTGATGATTGAAAAAAATAAGGGCGCCATGCTGCAACTTTCCCCTTGAAAAATTCTAGAAGACGACAGAAAAGTAGCAGTGATCACACCATAATTAGTTTCCCTAAATTTGATGCGATCTTTTATTGATCCGAAGTAACATGAGTTAAACCATATCAACAAATTATGACAATGTTAATACTGATTTGTTGCGTCTCTTGCATAGTTTACAACTAATAATCTAATCACCATCATCATCACCACCAAAAGTTGCACTGCTGAACATATACTCCCCCCCCCCCCCCTCCTAAAGAGACGTTTGCTAGTAGTTGCTACGCTTGGCGGGCGAATTGGCAACCACAAATAGGGTTTAGTGATTTAGGAAAAGAAAGTGGTGAGCTTTTATATACCGGAACTATACGGCAATTATAGACTAATATCTTGCTCTCACATTCAAAACTTGGCATATGCTGTTCGTAAGATTAAACAGTGTACTAATATTGACACTGCCACATTATTTTAAATACTTTTATAGTATACTGTCCTACGGAACATTATTATATTGTATATATAAGGTTAAAGCACATCCAAAGTATATTTGTATTACAAAAACGTGCAATTCGCGCAATTTATTCTATAGGAATATGGTGAATCGCTATGAGAAAATTTAAAAAAAGCAAATATTCTCAACGTAGCTTCACAATGCACATTTTATATATACGCAGGAATCTTCATTTGTTTTTTTAAAAACAGCGATCTCAATATTCTTAATACCAGACTCAAAATTGCTCTCACAGAGGAATGGGAGAATATTTGCCAAAATCGTATAAGAAACTTGGTGTACAGCATGCCAAACCATGTAAACGCAGTAATGGAAGCACGAGGAGGTAATACATAAAGTATTAAAATTCAACAAAATCATATAGTTGTACAAAAATTTCATGTTACAAAAAGTCTATTTGAATAAAAAAGATTTGAATTGAATTTGAATTCCATCAGGTGGACTGTCAGCTTGTTTGCTATTATAAGTTATATAAAAATCCTAGGAAATATTTTTTCATCACAGAAATTACTCATTGGGGCCGACTCTGATTCCATTTCTCAAAATTTGTCTCTTAACCTAATTTATTTTTATATATTAGAAATTATTGTATATTAGACCATCATAAATTAAAATTATAATTTTTGATTATTTAAATAAAAAATCCCCTATTAGAAAATTAGTCCTTAAAATAAAGATTTCACTGTGATATCAAATTAAAATTTTTATTTTAGAGATAGGTTTGGAGAACCGGCACTTCAGAATCGACCTCATTGTCAGGTAATAAAATTTTATCACAAATGTATAGGGACTTATTCCACAATAACAAGATATCCGTAACCAATATTCATAGTCATAAAAACAATATTGTAATATCATAATTATTTTATTATCTAAAAATTATATTCATATTACTAAAAATTAATTAGTACATTCAAAATAAAACAATACATCCAATATTATCAGTAATTAGTTCTATACTTTCTATATATAAAACACTTCATGTCAGGGACGGCCTTAACCTATTTGGCGACCCTAAACAAAGTTTTGACGGCTCCTTCCCAAAGATGAAATAAAAATGAGGTCACTACTTTTCTCTAAGATATCTCTGAGCATTGACAAAAAATTAAAGGTGGTTACCATCTTTTATTGCCCAATGTTAACGGCACCCTGCATCTCTTCTGACAGCGATGACGAAAAATGGCCGAAACGCCTGTCGTGGCTCTCCTTATATGTATACCAAGGCTCTCAGGATCTTGGCAGCAAGTATTGTTTCCGGACAAGGAGTATAAATTGTAACAAATAATTTTGTTCAAGTCTAAGTACGACACAATATATCGCAGATACGTCGTGTCATATATGTTACGAAATAAATATTTTATTTCCTCATTTAAGTTTAAAAAATATTTTCACATAAAATGTCTTCTAGTGGCACATCCTGTCCCAAAGAGTGAACACAACTAATCAAACCATTCATCAACATTTGGAGAGTTCTCCAGCACATCATTTGACTCGCTGAAAAAGAAAGAGTATCACTAATATAATAATATATATGGATATGAAATGAATTTAGGAATTTTTCATAAAAGAAATATTAAATCCGTACTGAATATTCATTATAAATATCCAAGTGAGTTTGTTTGTGCCTAATAATTCAATAAATCGCTATGTAATTTGGTGTACGAGTAGTATTAGATATGGATAAAAACATAGATTACTTTTTATTCTAGTTAATAAAAAAAAGTAATCTAAGTTATACACACATTGATAGTAGTTCATAGCAATACAACTACTACTAGTATGAAGGCTATTTTAGTACTGATTTCTTAAAAGGAAAAGCTTTTACTTATAATGAGGACTGGTGATTCCATTGTTACCAGTGGGGTGATAGACGATAGGTGAGGATAAAATCAGGTTAGTTAGTCCATCGTGACGAAGTCATTAAGAATGAACCGTAATGGTTTCCATCATAAAACCAATAGCGCAAATTGGCTGACCATTTCATCCATTTAAGAAAAAATGTTAAATGTTTTTAGATTGATGTTTTTGTTGAAATGAAATCTCCGAGATGACTTTTATAATAAACACATACCTATCAAGTGAAGGATCATTGCTGAACATCTCTGTAGGGACAGTAGGCGGAGCTCGCTCTGGCAACAGTTCTAAGTAAGATTGTCGCGACTGTAAATGGCGTTCAACTTCTTCAGGCGTCATATGTCCGTCGCTAGCAGATAAGCCGAAACTGAGAGAGGGGGATGCTTTAGATAATATCGCTCCACTCGATTGATGCTAAAATAAAGCATAAAATAAAATTAAGTACTCTTCATCATTATTATCATTTTAACCTTTAACTGTCCATTGCTGAACATAAGCCTCCCCCTTGGATGGGGAATTTTGCCAGTAGTTGGCACGCTTGGCAGGCGGATTGGCAACCGCAGTTAGGCTTTGGAGATATTTTAAGAGGGACGCTGCTGCCTTTCCTTTGTCGCCTGTTACGACACACACAGGAAAGGATGGGGTGGCCTATTCTATGCCAAGGCCATACGACAATTATTTACTCTATACTATTTGTATAAGATAACAATAAGAGATTCATGAGACGCAAGTATAAATAAATGATCAGGTGTGCAACTAGAGTTCCATATTAAATATATGACAAACTGTAAGTTTTTACTGGGTATAAAAATATATGTTTTAATACTAGCACCATTTGTAGTAAGTGTAAGGCTTTCTCCAAGTGAATAAGTAGGATAAGCATAGGAATGGTACTGATTAGGTACATAGGTACCATGAAAACTTCATGTGTGTCATGTGTCAATATTTAAAACAGACCACTACATATCTCTGTATGATATAGAATCTGTAGTAGCAATATTATCATCATATTAGTTATTAATTATTCACTGCTGAATTTAGCTCTGCTCCATAAAGGGGGTTAAGGGAGTACCGACAAATACAAATACCAACCTATACTTAATACTTACAAGATGACTAGTATTATGAGGTTTTTTAGGTACTACAGCTCTCTTTCTTTTCATAGCATTAGGACCCTTGGTAAGTGCTGATGGTGTTGAAATATGATGATGTGTAACACTCACATCAAGATTTTTTTTTCTGAAAACAGAAACATTAACAAATTTACAAAAAATATCATTTTATTAAGTATAATAATTAATATCACAGGTAATTTTTTGCAGACTATTCTCTCTATAGGTTTGGGATTCATATATTTACCTATAGATTGGGTTATAGAAAATAAAACACTTCAACTTATATGCAAACAGAGCTAATACTGGACAATCATTTCCTTTCAAGATTTTAATTTACACCAAAAAAGAATTTTGTGATTTTTACAATAAAATGTTACAAAATATTGGACTGTTTTTGTACCAAATAGACAATTCTTATAATACCCATCTAAAATTGAACATTAAGAATTGACTGGTTTTAAATGTTTGGTGCACAGGTGAATCATATATGAATTAATACACAGAATACATTTACTTCTAATTAACTAATTACTTAATTAATTAACATTGGGTTTATTGAAAGAGAACTATTTAAGAGTTAAGCTTTGTACATTTGTTTACTTTTACCATATTTTATGTATTATTAGTGTGTACAATAATGTATAAATAAGGTGTAAAAAACTAATTAAAAATACAATTAAAAAAGATTACCGTTTCGTGTTATCATGCCGATTATAATCTGTATCATCAGATGATTCTGTATCTTCACTCTCTGATGTGGTGCTTTCATGCTTTTCATACTGTAGTAGTCTGTCTAGCAAGAAACTACGGTCTCTAGATACTTTCAGCAATCTTTTTTGACCACATCTAAGAGCATCTTGAAAACACTCATTTTCCTGAAATTACAAAGATTAGTATGATTGTTTTGGAATCACACAAAAAGTACTGCACCAAATTATATGAGGTTTTCACTGTTCCTGAAAGTCTAACTTAAATCTGGTGTATGTTTCATCTTGATATGCTACCTGGAAGTGTGTTTCATTGGTTTTCCTACTTCTGCAATAAACACATTCAAAGCAGCAAGTAAAAAGCAAATCTATACTATAATATCAAAATAAAACTTACATAGATAAGGTATTTCAATTTTTTCTTTAAAGCAATATATTGTGCTCTATAATTAGGTTCAGGGTCTGGCTCACTACTGCTGTCACTTGAATAATTCTGAGACTCCCGTGCATGTGTGGTTTCTGTTGGTGCACTATTACTGACACTTGCAGCTTCACTTGCTTGCATGTTTGCTATAGAGCGACAATACCAGCCATCCAGCATTTTCTATAAAATGTATATAAAAAAATATTAGATAATCACTAGCTAATATGCAGATGAATTTAACATTTATAGTTATTTGTCTATAGATATGTATATTTTTAATATTTATACATTTACTGTCCCATACTTTATATGTTAATCTAGAATATGATCCACACATATAGTAATTTATCCATCCAGTGTTTAGTGTGATTATATAAATAAATAAATAGATTCAGAAATTTTTACAAACTTCTATTTTATTTTTTTGTAGGAAGTAAAATAAATTCATAATAAAGAAGGTCTATGTTTAATGGTGGTAATAATGATGTTTCTTTTGGTTTAATAACAAGAAAATAGAATTAAAAAGGTTCAATGGAATAGTCACAGAGAAAAAAAAAAGGAATGGGATTGGTGAGTATAAATGGAGTGAGATTGACATGAATAACAAATATTTTCTTGATTTTTAAAAAATGTTATATAAAAACTATTAATTTCACAGTTATTTGTTTAGTTGTAAAAAAATTAGTATTTTAATTTAAATAATATGTAGATTTACCAAAAACATTATGGGCAAGGAGTTATGCTAATATAGTACTACAAATCAGGTAATATAACTAATATAATAAAATTGTAACTAGACACTCTGTACATAGGAGATATTTAAGAAATATTGATAGGATAAGGGTGATAAAAGCCAAAATTAATATATTTTTTATTTTTGAATCTTACTGTCTGCATGTTTATTTCAGCATCAGACAAAAACTAATGCACTAAAATGTGATTATCATCCAAACAAACTTGTGGGTAAATGATAGTCTAACAGGAATTTCAATATTTTTCACACTATTATTATCTATTTTTTATTTATCTTTTTTTCTCTCAGTATTTTTGAATAGCATAGAATGTTTTTGATTACCAAGATTCTAATATTGACTTATTATATTTTAGTTATTCTTCTTACCATATATCTATTAATTTTCCATCTTATTCTTTAACAAACTAATCTTTTCTACTATTTCTTATACCAAGTTACTGATACTTTACTGAATTATGTATTATTTTCCGGAAGGTTATATCACTGGTTAGTTGATCAAAATTAATTAATTAATTATAGTAAAATTAAACAAAATAATTCTACTTAATTAACTAACATTTGATGTCATGTCTTACTAGTTACTAGTACTATAAAAAAATTGTTTAAAAAAATGTTTACCAACCTTGGGATAATTTTCTGACGCCAGTGTGACTAATTAAATAAAGTTAGTGGAATAAATTGCTTATATTTATTTTTAGAATGCAATTAAACGTACTATAACACAAAACTATCGAGCTTATAGGAATCAACAGACGTTATTCACAAGAAAATGATAATTTTCTTTCTGTGATTATTAGAAATCGGGACAGTTAACAGACCTAACTTTTATATAGCGGTTTGCATCTACCTGTACAAAACTTTAATACGATTTCATTCAATAATTAGCTTTAGAAAATATACAAAAAAAAAAACATTACAATAGACAGAAAACAAAAATTATAGGTTTAGCGAACGAAAATGTTATTTCAGAAGCGATGACATTTAACATTTTTTTTTTTTTTTTAGTACGTTTGTTCCGTTTGGAACAGGCTAAGGTCTTGAGACCATGTTATTTCAGAAGCGATGACATTTAACATACTAAATTGACAGACAGTTGACAGTGACATATGTATTTTTGAGTTAAATGGCGGTCTTGATTATATAGTAGTGTTTTAATCTAAGAACAAGGAATTAAATAAAAGGAATGATAAAAACTGCAAATCATATGATTGCCTCCTTATCTTATGTTATATTTGCATATGGGGTCAACTAAACCGTAGCACGTTGACGATCTTTTGTGCTTCCCCTTGCCTTATACCATAATTTCGTAGATGCTATGTGTTAACGATATCCCGCGGATTAAAATATTTGTAGTCCCTTGGCTCTGGGTAAACCGTTCCCAATAGACTTATACGCATACTTGCTAATGAATTACATTTGCAGTGTTCCATAGATTCCGATTTCTTAGAGCACAGTTTACACAGCGTGTCCGAGGATAGATCCATCTTGTATAGTATATGCCTTATTGGTATATGTCCAGTTAGGGCACCTATAATGAGTCTTGCTTGTTGTCTGTCACCGCTGTAAATGAGTTTATCTCATCCGTCAATATTGTCATTTAAGAACTTTTTAGAATGTCTAAGACCAGAGGGAGACTTTGTACAAAAGTCGATTGCTTAGGTATCACTGTCCCATTCGTGTTTCTACCGTGAAGCAGTTGTGATTGCATAGCTGTGTTTCGGTTTGAAGGGTGAGATATGGTGTGAATTTGCAGGGTACAGAGGAATAACATCCGAGTCCTTAGGAATGGCAACGCATGAGGAGTAACATTGGCGAAACAGTATACTCTGTTATGTCTATGATACTGGCGACTAGGCGACGGTTACCATTTTTTATCAGGTGGGCCGTCAGTTTTTTTGCCATTCTAAGTTGAATAAAAAAAAAACACTTCAAAGCCCTCCATTCCTTTTGCTGTTTTTTCCTCTCATACTCCTCACGGGCAGAGTTAACAATGCTTGATGCAAGTGCAACATATGGTTCAGGACCTATCATTTTTTATTCTGATCCCCTTATCACCAATTCACCGGCCCTTTTATTATCTTTAATCCATATATATCCAGAAACCCTTACCAAACTAACCCTATTATGCCTACCCATATTATTTAAGTTTTAAATAGTATTTAGGGTTAACCCGGAATTCATCCTTGTTGATACAAGTGCTTTGATAGTCGCTTAACTGTCACTTAAAATATAGATATTCTTGTTTTTTACATTATTATCTATATTCATTTGTTCCGGATCGCCGCTCCCACCGATAGAATTGTAAATAATTTATATATGTTTTTTAAGAATGGTTTAATAGGAATAGTTTTCGAATAATATATAGTTTTTCTTATAAGAATTATTATATAAAAATAGTGATAAAGATAGCAAAAATAGAATAAGACAGATAATATATATAAGAATAGTGATTTGCCAACGACCCAACGTTGTATAGTAACGGATTTGGCATAGTGGTGCAGATAGGCACAATTTTTATAGTAAATAATTTTAATTGTGTTTTTCATATAGTAATTGAATAAATAACATTAAAAATGTATAGAATATAGAAAATAGACAGTAAATTAATTTGAGAAATGTTAGATATACCATCTAAAGTTTTTCAAATTTAAAGTAATTGCATCTTAGAATCAGCTCCAATATCTACGGTCCTATTATTGGCATTTCTATTAGTTTTACTAATACTATAAGTAATGTACTACCTTTACTCTAGAAATGGGTTGGCAACCCTGTCTGCAATGAAACAAAGATTATAAGGCGCCCGGTTACTAGAGACAGGGGAATAATATTACTTCTTCTATAAGAGATTGAGGTCTATTAAAATTAGTCGTATTTTAGGAGGACTTCGTACTCTGTGATAGCGAGTCATTCCAAATTTCCAGTCCAAGTCAAATCAGTCAAAATTCAACCTTAATTCCACCGCATGTGCTTTTTCAGCTGAGTGTGGAGCCGTGCTTGTCGCGGTCAGTCGCTAGTGGATTGATTCCTCGTGTTGTGATGGCTCTCGGTAGTGAAGTGAATGATAGCTCCTCAAAAAACTGTTCTCAGAAAGTGAAAAAATGCCCAGCTAATAATGGTAATGACAAATCCAGTAACGAAAATGTCGGCAAAGGTAAGTTTTTCATGTCCATGTCCTCAGTTATGTAACGAGATTTTTTTGCTAACTGTATTCTAATAGTTTCATAGTTATCTTTGCGATAATTATAGAAAATGCTCTGGTTGCAATAGAGAATGCATGTGACATTTATTAAAATCATGTGATACAGTATCATACGATTACCTTCTGACCGATAATGATTATCCATGTTAACGTTTTGCTATTGAATCTATTTTGAAGTATATAAAAAAATGACATTGAGGTCGTCAGGTCACTATAGCATGGTATTACTGTAATGCAAAGTGCAATTATTTGACGAAAAATTAACTTTAATGTTGCGTAAATGGAAAATCATTACACAACTTGTCATTTGTATTGCATACCTATTGTGTATAGGTATTAAGTATATGCATATGTAGATTTAATTAATTGTGAATAAAAGTCATGATCCATAAAGTTCTTCTTTAATATTATATTAGATATAGTTATTGAAAATAAAAGATACTCATGATACTTCTTAATTCTCATCTCACCACATTACATGAGTTATTAAATTATTATTATGTTACATATCTAGATAAGTCCTTACATAAAATTAAGAGTAATCTCATTACATTTTAGAAATTATATACAATTTATACATACATACATATAATAATATATATATATATATATATATATATATATATATATATATATATATATATATATATATATATATATATATATATATATATATATATATATATATATATAATTGAATGATTTAGCACAAATAAGATGAACTAAGAGTATTAATATCAATTGGTATTCTGAAAAGAATATTGAATTATTAAGTTTTTTTATGCCTGTGATTGTAGCAACCTATCTCTATAATTTCTTATTCCAGATTAAATAATAATGTAACTGCAATTAAAGCAAATGTTAAAAAATATAAAAAAAAAAAACTTAAATAGTTTTAATGTTCATATTTATTATATAATACCATATTTACAACTGAAGTAAAGGGTTTAATTTTGAACAAATAGGAGCATTATAGGAGACATGGAATAAAATAATTTATTAAATAATTTCCTGTCACAAAAAATATTTATATTATTTTTTACATTTATTAGATCATATCACATACTATACAAACTAAAACTCAACAGTGAAAACATAATTTTGAAGCTGTAAAGGTTTATAATAATAAAATAGATATTAATATTTTTAAAATATTGGTATGAATGTGAATAACTAAAAAAATATATTTGGAAAATTGCATGTTTCATAGTTCAGCAATAATATCATTGTTCCAACCAACATCAATTAAAATGTCTTTGGTTTTTTACTGCTCTTGATTTCAGATTTATTTTGTCAGGATTTAAAGCAAAGTTATAAGGAAAGGAAAGATGTTAAACTTGTATATGTTTAAATTTTTTGTTTTTTTATATGTAGTATAAAATCACTGTGCTCACATTGTGTATGATCCTGAATTATTCATTTTTTCATATATTTAGCAAAACATTAACAACAATCTATAAAAAATTGTTTAATATTGCCTTAAACTGTTAAATATTGTAATTAAGAGAGCAAAAAGTTATTTGTCTACAAATAGCTTTTTGCTCTTTTATAGAATGGGAATAAGATCTCTTAAATATTTATCATGATCTTGCTAATATTACATTTATTTTTTGTTCATAATTAGCTAACCAAATATTTAAATTATCCATTAACCTTTGCTAATATTTGTAATGGATTAAATAAAAAACTACACAACCAATTTTAAAAATGCTTTCACCTACATAAAACTACATTATTAGTGAGTAACATAAGCTTATAATATTTTTGTAAATTTTGTCTACCCATGTCAAGCCGACCAGATCACTAGTTAAGATATTATTAAGTTTCTAAAGTAATAAATATGTAGTTTAGGTGTTAAAATAATTAAACCATATTCTATTATAATGTGCTGCTAAAATCAATTTTAATAATGAATATTGCATTTATTTCATATGAAACTTGTCTATTACTTAGATACTGGCCTCGCCTAGTTGTTTTATGAGCTTAGGTTATCACAACAGACCTATTTATCATCATCTTGAATAAAATAATAAATGTGTATTTAAATGTGTTTAATTTTTGACTAATTATTGCAAATGCTCTAAGTTTAAAATTTTATTGGTTTTTAATGAATTTAATCATTAATGTTTAAAAATCTATAACCACTAATAGGAGTTTGCTTGCTATTTCTCTTTGTTTTACCTTTATCAATTAAGGTTAGGAATTGAAATTAAGGATCTGAAGTTAGCACATAGAATTATTTTTTAGGTTTACATTAATATCTAGGAAATTAACCTGTCCAGTTGTATGTAATTCAATAATATATAAATAAATATGTACAGTACAGACCTTTATAAATTTTTAAGCTCAATTTTTTTTATAGTATCATATGGTTTGACTTTATTCTTAGTATAATAATAGAAATTTCTTTTGTCATATCCTCAAATTATTATTAAAAAAATATTAATACCATGTATACCACACAACCACACCAATATACTGGCACTTAGGTTTTTTTTTTTAATGGATGAAAATGGCATGGTCACCACGTCTGCGCTATCTGTATACATTGGCGGGGTACCAGTGAGAGGTGATAGATAGGTGAGGATGAAAATGCAGATCAATTAGTCCACCGTGACGAATTCAACGATAAATTAGTCACGATAGTTTCCAGGGGAACCACATAGAAGTCGACCTAATAGGATACATTGATAACAATGGGGACTAACCTCCCCATTACTAACAATCTCTTAGGTTAGGTTATCTCGTGTTATGAGAATCTAGATATCTGAGGAACCCAGAACATCGAGAGCCAATTTAGAAAAGTACATTTATTATATACGAGTATACTTATAAAATCAACCGAAAATCAGTCATCTACGCAAAACGTGTCGAGCAATGCTCCTTTACATTTATACAATTACTATCATCCTGTGAACACGGCCGGTGAAACCAATTCGACTAAATAAGAGGTTATCCTAGGTAAATGAATTATATATATTTTGCCTACATTATCTCGTGAATTAGTTTGTTATAAACTATACTTATTGCTGTTAGTAAAAATTGGAAATCTTACTAAATCGCATTTTGGACACAGCGAATTCCTTAATTGTAGATGCTAGTCGATCATTGCGTACATGCATTCATACGATCTATAATATTCCTAACGCAACCTACGATCTCATAAATGTAGTCCATTGCTCGAGTCCTCTCGTATATTTCAATAAGCGCGACGACGATTGACGAAAGAACCGTAGCACCTTAACCACACTACTACGCATGGCACGCATACCATCCAGGGAAAGGAATTGTTAATAATGCGAATAGCTCCATCGCTAATAGTATACCCAGATCGAACTTCACGCGGTCCCACACTTCACTGGTGCCCCGCCTGCGTGTACCGTTAGCGCAGGTAGGATTTACCATTCCATTATTGTCCACAAAAAAAAACACCTTTCGTTGTACGCCTACATGAAACACGTGGAGTTTCATGAAAAGCTTTCATATGTATAATTCATAGAGCCTTGTTTAGTGCAATAAATATTTAGTATTTCCTGGAAACTGATTTGTAAAAAATTTTTTATAACAAATAGAGTCTGGTTTAAAATATGTTGTAAAAGAAATTGTATAAATTACCTGTTATCAGCTAATATTCTTTTTCTTAATCAATAAAGTATCTTCCTTCTTAAGTAGCTTCTACAAAATAAATCATTGATGATGCCAAAAGTAAAATAAATGTAAAATATAGATAATACCTAAATTACAGAAAAAACAAGCATTACCTATAAAGTGTGATGATAACATAATTCGTTAAAACATGCATGGTAACAGGTAGTAGGCACATAATTTTGGTGTGTAATATTGGTATTATATATATTTACAGGTCTTATGTGTAGATATAGGGGGGCGATATGTTATCGGTTATCTTTGATTCAACTTTGTTAATGGGACAAACCCTTTGCAATATAAGTTATAAATTCGGTAAAGGCAGTGCTATTTGTATTACAAACAATATAATTAATTATGTATATAGTGATGAATAACCAACATTTATTAATTATTATAAAAATTAACTTCAACTAGCTCTGCTCTTATCAAACACTTAAGTATTCCTTCGTATCACTTACATAAAATGTAGTTATACCTAGAAATAATCACTTGCGAATAGATGGTACATGCAAAAGTAAGAAAAAGCCCCGTCCAATAAGTTTTAATTCAATGTTATAAAAAATGTTGTCTAAATCTAAAGTTCGCCAGTTTTAATTTATTACGAATATTTAAAAAATATCCAAATTGGTCGAAGTAATACGTTTATCTAACAAACAATATATTATTATGATTTTCATTTAACCTATATGAACTTCTTTCTTCTTCTAATATCCTATTTTATTTAGATTTAAATGACATATTTTTGATGTATTCATTGTACGTAGCTTATTGCATTGAAGTAATGATAAACTATCATTACCACACTCACTCCAGACTTAAATCCATTTTCTAACTCTGGAGTTAAGGTCCGTAGGTCGTTAAGTTAGAGTTGACATGTTTAATAAAAAATATTTGTTTTGCGTCTTGCAACAAATGTTAATAGCTTGTAGAAAATGTTAATTTAAATGGCACAAGATCTAGCGAGTTTAGTGAAAATGAATAAAATAAAGCATATTTATTTTAATCCGAAGTTCTACTGCCACAAGGAACATCTTAAATTGGTTTGATAAAGAAATTATGGAATATTTAAAGGCATTAAATACTTATCACAATGTTTTTTTTTTTTATTCAGACTTTGCCCTGATACGGTAAGCAGACAAGTCCGTACTTATTACAATAAAGTGGTTGGTCAATCTTTATGTATATAATAAAATTGTGCCGGGTCAAAATTGACAATTAATATTTTTTCGAAATATTTTATAATATTAAATGTATTAAGCTGCGATTTTGCACCATTCGGGGTATGCCTAAAGCAAAAATCAAAA